ATTGAAGCAACAGCAGCTTTATATTCCCACGGGCAAAACAGCAAAGCAGGAGCAAATCTTGTGTATATCCACGAGCAGGTAATTATTCCAAAAAGCAAATTGATATTTGTATCCACCGGTAGGGTAATATTCCAAGTAAAAATTGAACTTCGTATTCACTGGCAGGGTAATATTCCAAATAAAAATTGAACTTTGCAACAGTACTTATCGTAATCCACAAAAAGGGAAGAGTAGTAGACAGTAATCCCAATGAATGGGGTGTCCCAGCAGCCATGCCGGAACCACGGTCGTCCAAGGCCAACGAGCCGGAGCACCACCCAGGAGTAGTCGATGCAGATGACGAGTCACAGATCCACCCCCAGGAAGCAGGATTCTCACGAGCTCAGCAGAGGAGAGAGAGCACAGTGCAGGCACTTCAATGTAGACACGACAAAATTGCATTTCATGTCACCAAAGAAATAAAAAAAATACCTAATTCTATGAGTACCTGTTGTACTATGTGTAAGTTTTATGTGAATTACCCTTTAAGTGAAGAAATGGATGCAACCCTCTCTGTGTAAGATGCAAAAAGGATGATGCGAAAAGCAGAAAATAAAAGAACCCTAACTGGTATCAGTGAATCCTCACTGGAAATACATGCCGTCAGGATAGGGGCAAAATTGGTTATGGCCCGTAAGGTAAATCAACTTGATAATCATAACAATCACTTTTAAATCAACTTCAAAGATACTATAAAAAAACAGAAATATAAATTAGTACTAAAATGTAAATCAGTAGTTAGTAAACCCTTCATGTGAATGTACCCATAAGGAATTGTGATTAGTAAAGAGAAAAAAAAACAACATTTTGGACAACAGTACTATGTGGCCTAACCCACTTACTGTTACCTGGCCGTTTACCTGACTCCAGGAGCCCACAGCACGTCCATCTCAACACACCCTAAGTCTGCACGTGACGTATAACATGAAAGACAACCATGCACACTCACAAACAAACAAATTTGTGTAACCTGAGATAGAAATCTGTGGAACCAACGGGACGTATTTTTCACCCCCCCCTTTTGAAGTCGGTAGATTGTTGTTGTCATCGGCCAAATCTGCGGAACCCTTGTGCAGTTTGATATGGTCCCTGTGTACCCATTTGTAGACGGGCGCCCTGTTTTTGCCGGTCATCTTGATCTGATACACGACCGGAGAGATCTTATCTGTTATCAGGTACGGACCCGACCATTTGGGCAAAAGTTTCTTAGCCAGCTTCCCCTTATTGCCACCCGTTTTGGGAGCGAAAATGTAGTACCAGGCCTCATCACCCACCTCGAGTTCGGAATGTGAGGCTTTCTTATCGTAATAAGTTTTTCTGCCTTCAGCCGACTTCTCCAGAGATGCCTGTGCGAACGAGAATGCTGCAAGCAGGTGAGTTCCCAGGCCCTGGTCGTAGTAGTGGTGGTTGAGAAGAGTCTGAGGGGGACTGGCTGGCGGGACTGACGCGATGGCGTCGTCCGAGCAGTGTTGGCACGCAGCCAAATCCATGCCAAGAGGGCTACGTCGGTTCCATGGTAATGCATATCAGTGTGTCTGGGCAGCCCTGTTTATTCATTTAAACACATAACTCATGACATCTTTATTTCACAGATCATTCACCTGATTATTAATGATCAACAAATGCTTTGATTAGCTTATCACAAATGAAGTACTTTGATTAACCCATGAAAAGCATTCTTCTTCTGTTCTTCTGTCTCTTCTCCTGGAATGTAAACATACTGAACCAAGCGTCCGACCTTGGCGGTGTTACTGTGTGAAGGGGCAGCTGTTAAGGGCAGACCATTATACTTCCTAACGCTACACTGGGAACAAGAGGCTGGAGCTACAACTGGAGGGGCAGAGGATAACTAAATGAACACTGGTACTGAGGGAATGATAAGAAGGCCTACAAGCAGAAGACACATAATAGAGATGCAGACAAAGGACACATGAGGGCGCTAAGAGACACAGAAGGGAATCTAGAGAGGGATGGAGAAACATCAGGAGACACATGAAGGAAAGGGCAGACGCAGACCATGACACAGATAACAAAAGATGTTTCTTCTTTCTGCCCCTTTTATTTCAAATTGTTTGGTGTTTATGTTTACGTATGTTTTTTTTGTTGTTGTTTGTATATTTTCAGATTTTTCAGATTTTCAGATTTCAGATTTATTGGCCAAGTAAAAGTACATTTACAAGGAATTTGTCTTCGGTAGATGTTCGCTCTCTAAAAACATACAACAACCACAATAAATGAGAATAAAAATACCTAAAAACACATAAGAACATGTATACCCACACACATGTTCATTTACACACACACATATATATATATATACATATATACATACCCACACACACAAACACACATATCCATAAGCATACTGAATAAGTATTAAAAACTATAATAAAAGGATGGTAAAATAATCTACAGATTCAGGAGAGAAATGGCTGAAGGAAAGAAACTGTTCTTGTGTCTGGTAGTTTTTGTGTACAGTGATCTATAGCGTCTGCCAGATGGGAGGAGATGGAAGAGAGTAGATGCAGGATGTGTGGCATCTTGGACAATATTCTCTGCCTTTTTCCTGGTCCTGCTGATGTACAGTTCCTGGACAGAGGGCAGTTGGGCACCAATGATTTTTCCTGCTGTTTTAATAATACGCTGTAGTCTGGTTTGGGTCAGCCACAAAAATGGACAAATGCAGACAGTGATGGATGAGCAAAGTATGGATTCGACTGCAGCAGTGTAGAAGATGATCAGCAGCTCTTGTGGTAGGCCGTACTTCCTTAGTTGCCGTAAGAAATACATCCTCTGCTGAGCCTTTTTGAGGATGGAGTTGATGTTTGTCTCCCACTTCAGATCCCTGGAAATGATAGTTCCCAAGAACTTGAATGAGTCCACCATTGGCTGTTGGATATTGTGAGGGGGGGGGGGGGGGCAGCACTGCGGGAAGCTTCCTAAAATCCGCGACCATCTCCACAGTCTTAAGGGTGTTAAGCTCAAGATTGTGCTGACTACACCAGACCACCAGCCTCTCAACATCTCGCTGATAAGCAGACTCATCACCATCCTGGATGAGCCCAATGACAGTGGTGTCATCTGCAAATTTCAGGATTTTAACAGCTGTGTCCTTAGAGGTGCAGTCATTGGTGTACAATGAAAAGAGCAGTGGAGAAAGGACGCACCCCTGTGGTGCACCGGTGCTGATCAGCCTTGTGCCAGATGTAACATTGTTCAACCGCACATGCTGGCTCCTATTTGTCAGGAAGCTGGAAATCTACTGACACATGGCAGGGGAAACAGTGAGCTGAGAAAGCTTTGAGGTGAGGATTTCTGGTATAACGGTGTTAAAAGCAAACTGCAGGGGATCCAGCTGGTGGCCTGTGGTGCTTTTAAGATGGGACAGCACCAAGCGCTCAAAGGACTTCATGACTACTGATGTCAAAGCCACGGGTCTGTAGTCATTCAGTTCGGTAGGGGAGGATTTCTTTGGTACTGGGATGATAGTGGAGCTTTTGAAGCATGATGGAACCTCACACAGCTCCAGCGATCTGTTGAATATCGTTGTGAAGACAGGTGCTAGTTGGACAGCACAGGTCCTGAGGCAGGAAGGAGTTACTCCATCTGGGCCTGGTGCCTTCCGTCCGTTCTGTCTTCTAAAGATGTTGCAGACATCCTCTTCCTTCACAAGGAATGCAGCTTGTGATTTAGAGGAAAGAGGAGTAAGAGTGTCCAGGTGAGGGGTGGCGGCTGCAGCTATGCTGGAGTGGAGGAGGGGTGTGACATTCCTTTCCTCAAAGCGACAGTAAAGCCATTTAGCTCCTCAGCAAGGCCATGATTAGCATCGGAAATGGAGGATGGTCTCCTGTAGTTGGTAATGTGCTGAATGTTTCTCCACAATAATGTGGGGTTGTTGGCTGTAAACTGGTTTTTCACCTTTGCTGCATACTTAATTTTAGCAGCTCTGATCTCCTCGTTCAACGTGTTCCTGAGTGGTTTGTACAGAGGCCTGTCTCCTGCCCGTCTCATCTGGCTCAGTGTCGCTGTAAACCATGGCTTGTTGTTATTAAAGGTGCGAAAAGTCTTTGTTGGCACACACACTTCCTCACAGAAGGTGATGTAGGATGTCACAGTGTCCGTTAGCTCGTTCAGATCGCCGGTGGCATCCGCAAATACTCTCCAGTCTGTACAATCAAAACAGTCCTGTAACTCCTCTTTTGCTTCATTTGTCCATTTCCTCACTGTCCTGATGGCTGGCTTTACAGATTTTAGTTTTTGTCTATAAGTGGGGATAAGATATATAAATATACAGTATATATATATATATTTTTTTTTTAACACTTTGAATAAAACAAATAAAGAGAAGAGAGAAAAAAACGAGCACCAGAGCTTTTTTCCCACAGAGATTGACTCACAAGGCATTCATTTATACGAAAGACCGCTGCATATGTACCGCACGTGTTTGAAAATGAATGAACTTGGTCTTAATTGCACACGGACAAAAACTATATTTATGTATTCACCAGATTAGTCAATTTGAAGAAAATAAAACAATGAACTCCTGCATCCTAACGAAGAAGTTCTGTTCGTATAGCACTTTTCACAGAAGCAAGTCGCAAGGTGCTTCACTTGTTACGTGTGCCAGCCTTGCCTTTTTACTGCCCTGGACTTATCCTTAGGTGTACTCTGTGTGTTTTGATCCAAAGTCTCTACTTAAACAAACCGGGGGCTCTTTGCAAACATGCCCTCTGAGCCTTTGTGTTGCAAGTACCTGTTTTTGTTCATCTTTGTTAAAAATACAGTTAAATGCTCTTTCAGGTGAAACAGTTTTAAAAAACGCTACAAACACTAAGGAGTTCTGCACCATTTACCTCTCTGTTGCAATTTATTAATATTTTCATTACATTTAATTGGTAGTAATGTCAGTTTTGAACTGTTCCACCGACTCAGCAGCATGGATGGACGCCAGAAAAAGCCAAAGTCTTAAGTGTTATTGACCCTGACAAACGGTAAAAAATGAGGGTTTTTCGGAGCTCGGTGCAGTCTCCTGGATGTTGTCTGGTCCGCTGCTGTCATGAAGCTAAAACTGCTTTTCTGTTCCTTCTTCTTATCGGTGCTCCTTTTACCTGCTGAAGTAGGTATTTATTCTTTGTGATCGAGTAGCAGTGAGCTGATGCATGGCATTTGTTCAGACTTTTAATAAAAATTTGCAAGATTTGCACATTTTAAACATAGTCAGCAATATTACCCTAAAATGTTTATCAATGATTGCTTATTACATTACTGCATATTGGCTGTGATAATCTGATTTTTCTTTTTAAATTCAGTCAAGACCCGGACACAAAGATAAACATGAACCTCGGTCGCGGCATCCAGACCCCCCAGGGAGACGTAGGCAAAGGTTTGAGGAAATAATTAAAGGTTTGTAATTCTTTTATTGTTTCAAACCTCATCTTTCACAAAAAATATACTTTTCAAAGAAGGAAAAATCTTTAATGAATACATTTTTTTAGATATATTCTTTAAAGACACAAGCGACGATGATGACGATGAAGATTTTCCTAATTTAGAATGGCTTTTTAAGCTTCAAGACCTCCATGGTAAGATGACAAATCAGGTGATATTTTTTTTTGTTTCCTGTGCTAAAACGTTACCATTTCTCTTGTTTTTGCATTTATCTTTTACACTATACTCCTATTTTTGCTAGGCCAGTGCAACCCAAATCCTTGTCACAATAATGGTGTGTGCAAAGAAAAAGGCAGAGGAAGATTCAAATGTGACTGTCCAAAGGCTTTTGGGGGAAGAACATGTAAACGAGGTTAGAATAAATCCTAATTTCTTCATGATGTTGTTGAATTTTACAACAAATATTTAGACCAAGTGCTCCATCCAACTATTTTCCTCCGCTTATCCGGAGTCGGGGTGGGGGAGAGGCAGCGTAAAGAGGGAGGCCGAGACTTCCCTCTCCCCAGCCACTTGGGCCAGCTCCCCCGGGGGAATCCCAAGGCGTTCCCTGGCCAGGTGAGAGACATAGTCCCTCCAATGGGTCCTGGGTCTACCTATAAGTCTCCTACTGGTTGGACGTGCCCAGAAAACCTCACCAGGGAGGCATTCTGACCAGATGCTCGAGCCACCTCAACTGGCTCCTCCCAATGTGAAGTAGCAGCAGATCTACTCTGAGCCCCTCCCGGATGACCAAGCTTCTCACCCTATCTCTAAGGGAGAGCCCAGCCACCCTGCAGAGAAAATTTATTTCAGCCGCTTGTATCCGCAATCTCGTTCTTTTGGTCACTACTCATAGCTCATGACCATAGGTGAGGGTAGGAACGTAGATCGAACGGTAAATCAAGAGCTTTGACTTCCGGCTCAGTTCTCTCTTCACCACGACGGATCGGTACAACGCCCGCATCACTGCAGACGCGGCACCAATCCGCCTATCGATCTCACGCTCCCATTTTCCCTCACTCGTGAACAAGACCCCGAAATACTCAAACTCCTCCACTTGGGGCAGGACCTCGTCCCTGACCCGGAGAAGGCATTCTACCCTTTTCCAACTCAGGACCATGGTCTCGGATTTAGAGAAGCTGATTTTCATCCCAGCTGCTTCACACTCGGCTGCGAACGGCTCCAGCAAAAATTGGAGATCACATTCTGATGAAGCCAAAAGGACCACCACATCATCTGCAAAAAGCAGAGACCTGATCCTCAGGCCACCAAAACAGATGCCCTCCACACCTTGGCTGCACCTAGAAATCCTGTCCACAAAGGTTATGAACAGAATCGGTGACAAAGGGCAGCCTTGACGGAGTCCAACTCTCAGTTTGAGTAAATCAACTGCACTTTTATAGCACCTTTCAGTGTCAGAGAATTCCAAAGCAGGTCCTACCAAAACTAATGAGGCCCGCCGCCTTAAAGGGCTATGCCTATACTCATAGAGTTGGGGCGTACAATAAGTAACCTCCAACTCTATGAGTATAGGTATTGCCCTTTAAGGACCACATTTGGGTTAAAGTTTGAGCCCGACTTACTGCTGGCAATGCAGACCAAGTTCTGGCACCGGTTATACCGGGACCTAACGTCCCATATCAAGGGGCCTGGTATCCCCCACAGGGCTCACCGAGGGATGCGGTTGAACGCCTTCTCCAAATCCACAAAACACATGTAGAATGGTTCGGAATCAGAAGGGTTTTACTGCGATATGTGCAAGAATCACAACATTAGGAAATTGCTGCGGTACTTGATGCAAGAAAGATAAATGATGAGCAACAAAATAAACACAATGGTAATAATGTTGGGAATTAATAATTAGAACAGCAGCTACTTTATACAAATTTGTGTACGTACAGGTCAGAGCGGGTCAGTTTAGGTGCTAACCCAACACAGAGTCAAGTGACTGGAACAAAGTAGTTGGAGTGGACGATTCTACGATTGTTGTTCATGAGTCCAACCGCAGAGGGGAAGAAACTGTTTTCGTGGCGAGAGGTTCTGGTCCGAATGGATCGGAGCCTCCTGCCAGATGGGAACGAGTTGAAGAAACTGTGTCCAGGGTGAGATGGGTCAGCCGTGATCCGATCTGCACGCCTCAAGGTCCTGGAGGAGTACAGGGCCTGTGTGGAGGGGAGTTAGTAGCCGATGACCTTCTCAGCAGAGCGCACGACACGCTGCAGCCTCCTCTTTTCCCTGATGGTAGCTCCAACATACCACACGGTGATTGAAGAGGTGAGGATGGACTCGATAACTGCAGTGTAGAACTGACTCATCGACTGTGCTGATAGGTTGAATTTCTTCAGCTACCTTAGGAAGTGCATCCTCTGCTGGCCCTTTTTAATGATGCAGGCGATGGTGGGCGGCATGACTCCACCATCGTGATGGGAGTGTTAGACTCAGTTATGGGGGGGGGGGGGGGGGGGCGTGGGGTTGTGTGCTTCCTAAAGTCCACAACAACCTCCGCCGTGCAGTTAGCACCAGGTTGTTGTGGCTGCACCAGGACACCAGGCGAACTCCCACGCACCCTCCAGCACTCCCCTAAAGCTTGGTTTATGCTTGACGCATTCACTTTCCACGCGGTGATGCGGCTCGCGGCTGGAACGCGCTTCACAACTCGCAGCATTTATGGTTCGTGCGGCTTGTCTCTGCGGTGAGCCAATATTCTCCCAAACTGTAGGGGGCAGCATGGAGCTCTACGGCAAGCATCCAACACTACACCATAGTAGAAGTAGAAATTACTGTTTACAACATGGTATTTCAGCATTTTTAACAGCGTTCTCGTCTTTTCCGACAGTGCGAGCTATTTCTCTCCAAGAATTAATAACATGTTGATCACGGTGATCTCTGAGAATGAATCATACAAATGTCTGTATTTACGAACCTCTGCCGTGCCGGTCCGCCATGTTTTTCCGCGTCCGACCGTCCGCGTGGTTAGAAATTTTCCGAGGTGCGCGTTGCGGAAATCTTGGGCCGTGCGGAGACGCGGTGGAGGGGCGTGGTTGTTAAAATGACGCAAAATGATGCAACTTTTCCGCGCGGAGTCGTGCGGACCTTGCGGACGCGTCAAGCATAAACCAACCTTAATGAAGTGCTCTTTCTAATTATTTTTTAATGTGTGTTCCAGCTTCAAGGGTGTGTGTGAAAGGCATCTGTGGACGTGGTGAGTGTGTGCTGACTTCGACCCATCCCTTCTATGAGTGCAAATGCAAGGATCCTTTCCAGCCTCCCGACTGCAAGAAATGTAAAGCTCATTCATTAAATCTTCTCAGAAAGTTGCTTTTAATAGTTTGTTTCAAGTTCACTTACAACGGCTTTCCCCCTAAGATTCTGTGTGTGAGCCAAACCCGTGTAAAAATGGTGGCCAGTGCATCAAGCGGGGGAATGACTTTGACTGCTCGTGCCGTGATGGGTTCAGGGGACACTTCTGTCAAGTGGGTACGTGCTGCGATTTCATAATAGTTTTTTACTCCCAGTCCAATGTTCAGCGTGGTCAAACTGGAACAAAGCCTCACAATTTTCATGACTGTAATCCCACTGAGAGCTTGTAGTCAGTTCTTAAGGAGAATGAAGAAAAACTTGTGTCAGTCTCCTGACACTGATCATGATGGATCAGCTGCCGTCAGTGAGGATTTGGTCCAGATAATCATCGACAGGATGTGGAGTGGACCCGAAAAACTAGCACCAACATTAGAAATATTGGTTCTTCTCATAAACTTAATACACGTGTCAATAAAAGTCTTCTAATTCATGAATGTCACTCTTCCTTAAACCAGAGAAAGATATGATGGGAAGATTCAAAAACATTAAAGCACTAAACTGACACATGTTCCATTCTACTGACCTTTGACCCTGCCTGCATACCTCAGTCACTCAGTAAAGCCTGACTCATGCTTCTCCGTCTGCGTCAGTGCGGAGACACGCAACGCCATTATCCGTCCTTGCGTGCTTGCCGGAGAGGTCCGCGAGGACGGACGGAGTCGAGCTCTCTTTTCTAAACATCCGTCTGTCGAGACGGACAACGCAAGCTTGTGATTGGTCAGGACGCCGCTGTTGTCTACAGCGCCGCCATTGCGCCCTCAAAAACATAAAGAGAACCGAGGATAACAAGTGGCAGACACGGACAGGGGCGGATTAAGGACTGAAGAACATCCGGGGCTTAACACACGCACACACACACACACGCACACACACACACGTGACACGCACTAGTCAACATCATATATGTCTTGTACCACATAATTTTTAATCTGAAGCTACATATTCAGCATTTTCAGGGCAGAGTATTGTTCCTGTTAGTGTTTAGTGTGAGATGATAGTAAATATTCCCGTTCTTTCTCCAACAACTTTACCTGATATTAAGCTAACTTTAGGCAAACCAGCAGCACAACAAATATTTTCAAATAAGACTCACAAACCTGAGTCAACACCAGTCTCATCAAAGCTGGGGTTCTGTCGCCGTACTTTTGGTCTAAAAAACGTCCTTATGTCCATCTTCACTCATGCGTTTCAGGCAGAGAGTGTAGAAGACGCCGGCTGCTGAAGGGCTTCTTCTTCAGTGGTGGAGGCTCAGGCAGGCTGTATACAGACTACTGCCAGCTGCTCCCTCTCTGTTGGACTTTGGTACTGCATGTTACTTCCGCGATTTAGATCCGGGGCTTTCTATGAAACATCCGGGGCTTCAGCTCAAGTAGCCGGGCCTAACGCCGCCCCTGGACACGGAGAAGCTTGAAGAATACCTCGCGAAAAAACTCTAAAAAGAGGAACGTTTCATTCCCCCGTGACTGGAGGAGTGAAAAGATGCGCAGGAGGCGTTTTATTTGTGGACAGAAATGACAGGAAACGTGGGTTTAGAGGTGGGGAGCGCATGAAGAGGTGGAGGAGAATGAGAGACAAATATGTCCGTGTTAAAAAGTCTCTTATATACAAAAAACGCAATATAAACACACTATCTTGGACCGATACATGACAGGATACCACAGAACAGCGCTACGCCCTCTGTTGTCCTGCCGGGGAATTGCTTTGCAACACTCTCCAGGAGACGGAGAAGCATGAGAGCAAAACGCTTCCGTCAATCCGTGCGTGTCTGTCCCTTGCGGAGCTGACGGAGAAGCATGAACCAGGCTTAAGGCTTTGGTTTACATTTCAGGCCCTGGTGACTGTTATGTGGATGATGGTGAATCATATCGTGGTAACGTTAGTGAGACAGACGATGGCCAAGAGTGCCTCTACTGGAACTCACACTTTATCCTGGACAACGGAATTAACCCCTTTGGCTCGTCTGAGGACACAGATGGACTTGGTCCCCACAACTTCTGCAGGTCAGATGAAACTAAATCTGCTCACCTGAACAGAGTTTATACAAAAATACCCTGACACATTTCTGTCTAACTTTAATTTGAACATGTAGGAACCCAGATGGAGAACCAAAGCCCTGGTGTTTTTACAGAAGAGGATCAGGCTTGTATTGGGACTACTGTGAAGTGACAAAATGTCCTAAACCAACAAGTGAGTAAAGCTACAAACAGCAGTCTTTGCACAGCTTTGGCCAACAACAGCTTTTATAATTTTTTTTGTTTTCAGATGTGGTTCCTACTGCTGCAGCTCCTCCTAGCCCCCAACCTCCTTCTATTAAGCCCCCACCAACGCTCCCTCCATCAACTACGGCCCCACCTACACCACCACCTACCACCTCGCTGCCTGTGACCTCTGAGCTCCCACCATTCGTCATCAAACCCACTGCTCCCGCTGTTCCACAGCAGTTCCTCACTTGTGGGAATCCGCAACCAAAAAAGCCTCTTACCCGAATCTACGGGGGCCTTAAAGTCAGTCCGGGGGCAATGCCCTGGCAGGTGTCTCTGCAGGTGAAACAAAAGAACTCCAACCTGCCGTACAGACACATCTGTGGAGGAGTTCTCATTGAAAGCTGCTGGGTTCTGACGGCCGGGCACTGCATGTAGGCATGCCACACACAAATGCAACCAATCATGAAGGAACTTAGATAATCTCAGGTTATTAAACCGTCGTGTTTTCATTCTCGCAGTGAACAGAACAAGGACATGCGAGTGGTGATGGGAAGCCTGGCGCTGGATAAGTTGGATCCCGCAGCTCAGATTGTTGAAGTTGAGAATGTCATTAGGCATGAGAACTACAGGGAAACCCCTGCAGCTGTTTACAATGACATAGGTAATATACTGTCCTAGAAGAATGACATAACTCAACTCAATCTTTATTTAGCACTTTACAGGTACAAAGTAACACCAACGCCCTGTACAGGAAATAAAAGAAGCTAAACAACAGAATTAAAATGAATGAGTACACAATAAAAAGTGCTTTGAAACAGAATAAACTAAAAGTTGGTTCAAAATTACAATACTAATGGAGGGAAGGAAAGACCAAGTCTTCAGCCTAACTTTAAAAACTGCCACTGAAGTGGAAGCCCTCACAGAGATGGGTAGCTCATTCCAAAGCTTAGGGCCTGCCACAGAAAGCGACCCATCTCCTTGGGTCCTTAGAGATTTTCTGGGCACATAGAGCAGGAGACGGTTCTATGAACAAAGTGCCCATACAGGGTTTTGTTGCTGTGACAAAGACTGCAAGTAAGATGGAGCTAAACCATTCAGTGATTTTGAAACCAATAAAAGGATCTTAAAATGAGCTCTAAAACTCAACGGGTAGCCAGTGCAGTTCATCCAGGACCGGAGTAATACGGTCAAACTTCCTTTTACCCACTAGGAAATTGGCAGCTGCGTTTTGCACAAGTTGTGACGTTGCCAAGGTGCCCTGCTTCACCCCATATAAAACCGAGTTACAATAATCAATGTACATTGTAATAAAAGCATAAACTACTGCTTCCAGGTCATGTTGCATCAGGAATGTTTTCACTTTAGCCAAATGCCGTAAATGATAAAAAGAGGAGGAGACAACTCCATTTACATGTGCATCAAAACCCAACGCAGTATCAAATTTTACTCCAAGGCTAACAACTGATGCCTTTACCAGTTAAGTGAAGTGGCGTCAATACGGCCACTTGGCCCAAATGGGATTACCTCTGTCTTTTCCTCATAGAGGCATTGAGGCCACCTCTTTACTTCAGACAAACAATCTACCAAATTGTAAATAGCAGAATTATTTCCTGAATCCAAGGGTAGATAAAGATGAAAATCATCAGCAAAAAAATTAAAGTTGATGCCAAACCTATGAATAATATTTCCCAGAGGAAGGATATAAATCAAAAACAGTAAAGGTCCAAGCACAGAACCCTGCGGGACACCCCAGGGAAGACTGGAGGAGGCAGACAAGACTCCCCCCATCCTAACTCTAATCGTTCTATTGGCTAGGTACAATCTAAACCCTTGTTTTCCATAAGGAGACATGGAGACAAGGGTGGAAAAAGGCCAGATTATGTGTCTTCATTCCTGTATTCATGACATGCATACTGTATATCTCACTTCTGATTGGCTAATGCCATTGCGCCTCTTCCGCCGCCTTTATTACCAAAACTCATACTTAAAAACATATTTTCTTCAGTAAAAAGGAAAGCTTGGTATTTTATATCTACAAATAACACAAGCCTGAAGATGTTCTGCTATGTTGCCAATGCTAACAGTTAGCTTCTACTAGCTGAAAGATGCGCTGTTCTCCTGGCCATTGAACCAACGCAGCCTTCTGCGGTTGCAAGCCAAGGTGATTTAGGCTACGAATGTTTACTGTGACATAGATCTGTGTGGCTTTTTCCAAACAGAACGTTTCCCCGTCTATCTCTTTTCTGCAGCTAATGCAAGAGATAAGTAGAAGACTATTTTCACGTTCAGCATGCATGTAAAAACCACGAGTGACTGATCAAATTTCAAAAGGAACAAGTTTTACACGGTTCCTCAGCGAACATGACCTTTACTGTGATCTGTGAACAAATTATTAACAGGTTTGCTTCATTTCTATCTCTCTCTCTCAATTTCATCATGGAAGCCTTGCTGAGGCTGAAGGGGACTGACGGGTTTTGTGCTAACGAGACACAGTTTGTGAAGACGGCCTGCTTGCCAGATTCCCAACTCCCTGATGGAATCGGATGCACCATATCTGGATGGGGGGCCACTGAAACATGTAAGGCCCAGTTACACTCAAATATAAAATAAAACCTGTCAGTTTTATTCATTTTGGTCTCTTTTAGACATGATTGAATCATTTTTCTCAACCTCATTTTTTTTAGCGGATTATGGTTCCAACCACCTGTTAGAGGCCAACGTTCTGCTGATCAACCAGCAAAAGTGCTCTGAGCCCCGCGTTTATGGAGCTAACATTGATAACACCATGTTCTGTGCTGGCCACTTGCAAGGAGGGGTGGATTCTTGTCAGGTCAGACAGGAAGATACTTTACTAAGTGCACAGTTTGACCCATAATCTAGCGAGGTTGAGCATTTTTTAAATGGTTCTGTGTTTCAGGGGGATTCTGGAGGACCACTGACTTGCAAGCAGACTGACACTCATGTTATTTATGGTCTGGTGAGTTGGGGCGACCAGTGTGGAAAGAAGAACAAGCCTGGTGTTTACACACGTGTCACTCACTTTCTCGACTGGATCAGGTCAAAGACTCGAGCATCTCCTGTCTAATCTGGCACCATTTCTTGTTAGCATGCTGGTGTGTGTGTGTGTGTGTGTGTGTGTGTGTGTGTGTGTGTGTGTGTGTGTGTGTGTGTGTGTGTGTGTGTGTGTGTGTGTGTGTGTGTGTGACCAAGCACATGAAAAGAAAACAAATGAATAAAATAATAAGAACGCTACTTTTCTGGCACATTATGATTGATCATATTCTGATTCTAATTTAAATGTTTTGCCCACTGATCTGAAATTTTCCAGATGTTTTACTTTTTTATGATACCAGACATGTTCTGGTAGTAGAGGAGAAAACTCAATAAAGGTTGGCTGGGAGGGAAAGTCCTAATGTCTCGTACTTTATATGTAGTCAGAATTCAGGAAGCCAAGAAAAAAACCTGCCTCTAATAAAAAACTGAAATGGAAAGCCATAAGCGGCATACTATTTAATTTAAGTGATACTTTAAGAGACATAAGCACTTTCCTCTGTTCACCAGTCGAATCCGCTTGTTCCTTGATAACAGCCTTAAGCTGATGTAAACATCCCTCAGAGGTTCTGGTCCAGCCTGACATGACAGCAGCAGCTCCATCCATGATGAGAATCTCCCGTTCCTCTGCATCTCAAAGGGTCTGGACTGGACTGAGATCTGGTGACTGTGGAGGCCGTCAGAATCCAGTGAACTCATGGTCATGTATCCAGTTAGAGATGATCTGAGCTTTGCAGCTTGGTGCGTGATCCTACTGGAAGCAGCCATCAGAAGATGGGACCATGGGATCATAAAGGGTCAACAGCAATGCTCAGGTTGGTCTGTGGCGTTTAAACCAGGCTCAGGTGACGCTAAGGGGTCCAAAGTGGAACAAGAACATCTCCACAAACAAGGCAGGACGGATCTGTGCTTTCATGTTATTTGCACCTAATTCTGACTCGACCACCTGAATGTTTAGCTGAAATCCAGATTAATCAGACCAGGAAAGGTTCCTCGGTCTCTAATGTTCCAGTTCTGGTGATCCTGTGCGAACTGTAGCCTCGGTTTCCAGTTCTTAGATGACAGGAGAGACACGTGGTATGGTCTTCTGCTGCTGGGGTCCATCTGTAGCTGCAGACCTCGGTAGGAAGCAGTGATTATTGGAGCTACTGTTGGTTTTCTGTTAACTAGAACCAGTGATTTTTCTCTGTACACCCTGGAGATGGCTGTGGGTGTAAATCCCAGGAGATCAATGATTTCTGTAACTCTCAGACCAGCCTGTTGGGTACCAACAACCGCTCCATGTCCAAAAGCTCTTGATTCCTTTTATGGAGCTACCGTCTTACAGTTTGTGTAATTTGAGCTCACTTGGTGTTGCAGTTCGCTGCGGGGCAACAAAGGCCAGTGATACGTGAGACCAATGGCACGCACGTCCTTCACGGGCCGATGCCGCGAAGGGGCTGTGACGCAAAGACCAGGCCGGTGGCGTTACTCTCGGCTCATCGACTCTCTAAACAACTGAAGAGAAGAACTTTGATTTTCTCCTGTTCTTCAGTATTTCAGGATTTGAGTCGGACCCAACACGGTTTGATCAAATATTTATTAGCAAAACATTTGATAAACCAATGAAGAAGCTATAATACTACTTTATTTTGTACAAGGTTACAGCAAAAAGTCTTCTAAGACCTGATGGTCCTAGAAAGTTTCGACAAATGATTAGAATTTCAGAACCAAAACTCTCCAGAGGTTCATTTAAAACATCTAATTAGGTTTAGTGGATCATCTTTGTTTGTTTTGCAGAAAAGAGCTATGAGAATTATAGACAACACTCATAGTACAGCTCCATCTAACCCATTATTTATAAAATATAAAGTAATTAAATTTCATGATTTGGTCAACTGGAGAATATTGCATATAATGTATAAAGCAAATAAAGGTACATTGCCAAAGAATATTCAGCATATTTTTGAAAAGAGAGATAGCAGTTATTCGTTGAAGGGATTTGAAATCTTCAAAAAACCTAGATTTAGAACAAGAATGAAGGAAATGAGCATATCTGTGAATGGTGTGAAGTTGTGGAATTGCCTGGACAGAGAATGGAAAGAGTCAAGAACTCTAAAAGTGTTCAGTCTACACATTAAATCACGTGTGTTGAGTGGATATGACAACGGACAATTGATGTGGACATAATAATTAACAAATGTGAACAGTTACGGGACTGAAAGAACTGGTGAGGGACTGCACAAATATAAATTGATATTTAAGTTTAAAAAGGGGGCAGAAATAATAAGATTTTTCTTCTGTCTGCTCCCTTTCATTCAAATATATATTGTGTTTTCATGAATATTGTTTAGTATCTGTTGTGTTATTTTTTATTGAATGAAATAAAGATTAAAAAAAATTTACTCAGATAGCATCAGAATTCACAATTCATTAGTGAGCCTTTCTTTCACCGCAGTGTTGATCCTCGTCTGAACACCGGTTCCAGGGATCCTTGATCCAGAACAAAGTAAGAGGCTGCCAGTTCACTCCATTCATGTCCATGCATGGGTTAAACAGGGGGAACAGGGGCTCTGTGCACTGCACAAAGAAAGAGTGAAGCAGAGTCATGGCATCAGCATCGTAGAAGGACAGCTCCCCCTTCTGGATATTTGCCAGTATGCCCAGTTTTCTCACTCTCTTTGCTACAGTCAAGTGCTTCTCTTGTGTGTCGTGGCACGCCAAGTACTGTCCATCCCCGTGATAGAGGCACCAGGACGTGTTGTTCACACCCAGGCTGAAGGAACTCCGTGTCAAGCTGTCATTTTTATTCACCAAACCAGTCGTGACACCGACCATCCAGAAGGGTTTGTCCTGGACAATCACCTCCCAGTAGTGCCGGCCACTGGTGAAACTCTCCTGAGCGAGGACGCTGTACTGGGAGTCGTAAGGCTGAGGGGTTGGTCCCTCGCCGGCGGGCTGGCGTCTCCAGTAGACTTGTTTCCTGTCTTGGGATATTTCCAGTTTGGGATGGGCTGTGTTGGAGTCTAATGCAGGTGAACTTAGATCTGCAAACAAGCATCAGACACAAAGTTATGCAGCAGCAGGCGCTGGTTTTCTGATTGCCAAACAACTCTCTACTAACATGACCATGTTCGTGGAAAGTGTTGGGACAGAGCCAGCGAGAGGTCGTCCACCAGCCTTTCGACGGTTTTCAGCTTCTCGGGGTCACACAGGTCTCTGTTCACCTCCTGGATCGGAGCAAACTCCAAGGGATCGCTACGGACGAATCATCAAAATGAGTCCAGGAAGTGAACATGTTGAGCCAAGTATTAATGTCTCAAAGGTGGAAAAACACACTCACCAAAGATTCTGTGCTGTGAGTTTCTATTAAAATAAAAATCTGTTATTTTGTGCTTTAGAGGCAGAAAGCAGTTTAGAGCACAGGTGTCAAACTCCGGTCCTCGAGGGTCGCCATCCCGCATGTTTTTGTGTTTTCCCTGTTTCAACACAACTGATTTCAGTCAGCAGGTGATTAACAGGCTTCTGGAGAGCCTGATGAGCTGCTGCACAGGTCAATCAACTGTGTTGGAATAGGGACACAAAAAGATGCAGGATACCGGCCCTCGAGGACCGGAGTTTGACACCCCTGGTTTAGAGTCTGTTAACAACAACGTTATGCAGCATAGTTAAAGATTTAGAGACATTTTCTGTTATTTTACAATCAAAAACAACCCTCAAACATTTGCACATTACCTGCAAAAACTGCAGATCATTCGTTTCCTGTAGAAGTGCTTTATTGGAGGCTCTGAATCCGTCTATCTCCTTGATCTGAGTTTCTATGATTCCTCTCTGGACCTCCAGCCAGTCTGCCGTGCTCGCCTCCTCTGCATCTATGATCTGCATCATCAGACGCTCGTCGGCGTCCAGCACCACACGGATTCTGCTGTATTTGTCTGAGATCCTCTCTCTGAAATCTGCAGCAGAATTCTGGAAAAACATTAAGATATTGCGGCACAAATTTTCTGCAAAAGGAGCGTTATGGTGATTGGCTTTACCACAGTGTGTGTGTACAGTGATTCCAAGTCTTCGATCGCGTGCTCGGCTTCACCTCTCCTCTTTAGCAGTTGGGCCATGTTTGCCTCCAACATGCTCTGAAGACCAAAACGGAAGAGTTAGTTGTGTTTTTAAGGTAGAATGCTAATATTTAAATACCAGAGTTTAAAACGGTTGAGAAACCTTGGAGTCATGGCTGCATGGACGTAATTTTCACTTTAGAAGTGGGGGGGCTCGGGGGGTGGGGGTGGGGGGTATCTTTACAGTATGCTCTAATGGGAAACAGGCTTCAACACAAAGGGTTGTTTTCCGCTTGGTCCTAGAGCTCAACCAGTGTCAATTTAATATAGCGTAATATTGTTTTTGGATGGTAAAAAGTGCAGGGGTCAAAACTTGACTTTGGAAAAAGTGTGTGTGTGTGTGTGTGTGTGTGGGGGGGGGGGGCATGTCCCCCCTGTCCCCCCCAAAATTACGTCCATGCATGGCTGTTATTCTTTAGATGTGCTGCGAATGACTCCCGAATCCTGAATTTTAGCTCAGTTTTTGTAAAACTGGCTGTTGATTTGCAGTGCGGCCATCTTGAATGGGGTTGCCTCCACAGTGAGTCAGTTGACCAAAGACTATTTTCAGAAATTTAGTTGAAAACCGTCATCAGCTGATGCGGTATTTTGCTAACTCTCTGGACAAACGCACGTAGCCCACACACAGACACGAGCAAAAACATTAACGCTAGTTGCCTTTAGGAAACCACGCAGGATGAAACTGCTCCAGAACAACATTCATACCATTTAAAAATAATAAATCAAAAGAACGAGATGGGTTTACCCTGAATTGAGCACCGGCTTCATGAAGCTGAGCTGTCCTGTGTTGCTTGTGCCTGCCAACCAGGGCGCATAAACAACACACAGGGACCTTTTCCTCCATGCAGAAGAGCTTGAGCTCATCACGGTGCTCCCTGCACTTCAGGGACAACGGGTCCTTGGTCACATCCACCAGCGTGTGCTCCTTAAAAGCAGACCGCTGCTGGTGCAGCAGCGCATGATCCTGGCACAGTGACGCATCGCAGGTCAAACAGGTCCTCACGGCCGCACGCGACTTCTCTATGCAGTGGTCGCAGTGGACAGTGGAAGTCGGCTTGGTTGCACTACTGCAGGTCTCTGCTGCTGCTGACTGTCTATTTAAAGTAAAGTCATTCACTTTAGTCTGGAGGCCAGTGTTTACCTTCAAAATGAGGTCAGAGGGAAGGAACATCTGACACTCTGGACAGAAGAAAGGCCCCTCAGGAGACACATCGGTTTCCCAGACAGCATGAATGCATGTGAGGCAGAAGCCGTGTCCGCACTGGAGCACCACAGGATCAGTGTAGAAATCCTGGCAGACGGGACAACTTAAGGTTTTGTCAACAGTCTCCATTGCTCTTCTCAGACCTTGTGTGGAGGCACTGTGAGAGCTGTACTCCCGGGCAGCTCATTAATGTTTCACTGGCCTCTCTTTGCAGGAACACACCACTCACGAGCCCCAGTGTCAGATTACAAAACACGGGTTGAAAACGGTAACTATTTAATACCAACAACACTAGATGTGCGTTTTTGTCCAAAATGCTGAATTAAAAATGTGTTAAATCTTTAAAAAGATGCTGTGAAATAAAACATGTGTGTAAAGCCACTTTTGGATGATACTGCCCAGACCTAAAATCAGCCTGGATAAAGAAGGAAGGTTGTAATTATTCATTTAATAAATCAAGAACCAAGAAAATAGGCATCATTCACTTGTTTCCGTGGTTTACGTACGCCGTTTGTTGGCGTGTGGAGTCTTTGACGCATCCATCACAATTACATACAAATGTCCACTTATGCAAATGACAGTAGATTACAACATAGCATCCCAGGCAGATATTTCATGATATCCCTGTGTGAAAGAGGACAGGGTAAAAACTGGTGGTGTAAAAGTTCATGAAATAATGCCAATAAAAACTATGATTTTCTTTAGACAAAAACAGCCAGAAATCAGCTTTGAGCTCAGCCAGGCAAGAACCAGCTGGTCAGAATGAACATGTTTAGTTTGGTTTGGGATTATTGTAGGAGGACAGCACAAAAGACCGTTGATTTGTACAGAGGCTTTCTCGCTTCTGGCTTTTCTAGTTTCTTTTGTTTAGTTCTTATTTAGAACAGGTAGGATTATTTTAATCACAAACTTTTTCAAATAAATCCGTTCAGACGAGCAGAACTATTACTTTAAAAACATTTAAGGTTTCCATCATAGTGACGACCCTCCTTTGACTTCCATTCATTTGTGATTGTGATTCCACTATTCCTAATCCACACCCCAACCCTAACCATAACCAATGCTAATCTGACCTAACCTTAACTAAGACTTGATTCACACACTGTACCTCTAACTGGTACAGTAAGCTTCTGGTAAGCTTCTAAAAAAGTGAGGACCAAGAAATGTCCTCACTTTGTGGGAAAACTGTCAAAATGGTTCACCGTATGTAGTGTGTAAAATAACACACACACACACACACACACACACACACACACACACACACACACACACACACACACACACACGCACGCACGCACGCACGCACGCATGCACACACACACGCACGCACGCTCGTACTCACACACACAGTACAGTAATATAATTTACATGGAGGTTTATTACGTTTAAAACCTACATTTTTCATTCAATAAGCTTTATTTGGTAAATTAGTTTTGCTCTGAACAGAACACGAAGTTCCACCATTTCTGCGTACGTGTGTTAGGTGGTTTACGTACGCCTTTTGTTGGCGTGTGGAGTCTTTGACGTAGACGTGCTTCGTGAATCGTTGTTTACGCTCTCTCTGAACAACGTGGGCTGTGGATGTGGCAGGGCATCCGCGATACACTGACCGACTCTCCTCCACGCAGCACAGCTGTATCAGAGGTTGGTTTTCTAACCACGCATTCTCATATCGTCAGGCAACGACTACGTTTGTGAGACCCTTTTTGTTTTAATTGTGTCACAATAGCGGCTCACATTAGCTAACGCTAGCTAACATTAGCTAGCATCACGTACAGTTTGACAGCAACAGCCTTTGACACGTAGCTGTTTTTGTTGTCTAGGTGCTTTCTTTTCTAAATGCAAAGTCGTTTATAACCGATGTTGTTTTGTGAAACATTTAGCTTCGTACGGATTTAGTTGTGAACTGTTGTAAGGAAACTCAGCATCTTAGGGTCGCAGTTATTTTTTAAGTCACACATTCAGTTGTTCGGCGTGGAACAGATGTAGGATAAGTATCGTAACTTTGTAATGATCGTTTATCAAACGTTTTATTCTGTGTGTAAACAGGTGGTTTAACCCATCAGGGTCAGAGTAACCTGACACTGGGTGATTTGTGTTCATCTCCCAGGTTTGGGTGCCATGTTTAACAGGCTAGCTTCGTGCACTCGCCTGCCAGCCAGAATCCGACTGTTGAATCATGTCAGTTCAACCTCCAGCAGAGGATTCTCTCAGGCTAAATGTAAGTAATCATTCATTCACCCATTCATCTATCACCCCACTCACCCATCCCTCCCTCCCTCCGCTCACTATTTTGTCTTTCTGTTTATTTATTTAATTATTTAACTTGTTTTTCAGGAGGATAAACTGCTTGAGATGTAACATCTCGTTTTCGAGCAGGTCCTCCTACAACACAACCGATAACAAATAAGGAGGCAGAGTTAGAAAGTTATAACATATTTAAAAAAGAAAAAAGAAGGAAAGTAAATAAATAATAACAGTAAAAATAACGCTATGTATAAATATATATACACACGTAAATATATGCACACATAAATACACATATGCATGGATACATGGATACCCACACATGTACATACGTATGTAACTACCTATATACACAATTAAATTAAATAAAACTGCTGTGAGGCACTCAAAGAGAATTAAGGGCAAAATATGACATCGTATTTAAACCTAAAGTGAAGTAATATCCCAGTTGAATACAAAGATTGGCAACAAAAAACAGCATTTTAGCCAGTGAATGCACAAAATCATTATAACAGAGATTAAACAAAGCAACTACAGCTCGGCTTTACATAAGCATAAACAGTGCGGGAAAATTGGCGAATTGAAGAGATAGATCTTAATTCAGTGGGTAATTTATTCCAGTCCTGAGGAGCTTTAACACTAAAGGCGAGTCTACCCACCTCCTTTTTAAAACGTGGAACAACAAATGATGGAAAAGTAGTTAAACTGTTCAAAGTTTCTTTCTGTCAGCCTAGAATTAGGAAACAGCACGGCATTTATATTATCTCCACTAAAGTTGAAAATGCGGAAGCACTGGATGCTAAAGCCTGTTGTGCTGCTCTTTTGTTGATTTTGAGAACAATCAGAAGCACGATGTTCCCTTGATCTAGTACAGGAGGTGGGAGGCAGAAGGACTCTAGCAACGTCTCCCATCCCATGGGTGGAGCTGTTGTGGAGCTGGAGAGCTCCTTCAGCGACGGGCTGCTGCATCCTAGGTTCACGGAGGAACGTTATGATAGCTTCTAGCTAGCTATATACTAGCTTCTTCCTCCCAGCAGCTGTTAGTTTCTATAGCCACTGCTGCTTCCAGCTAAACCAGTAAACAGTCTGCATTCCTGCTGCTGTATATTTGTCCAGTTCTGTTGTAATGCTATTGACACTCAATCATATCTCATTTCAGGGTATCCGCGGGTCCTTAAAAAGTCTTAAATTTACTTTTCCAAATTTAAGGCCTTGAAAATCCTTAAAAATGACAAATAATCCTTAAATCCAGTTTCCAAAGGTCTTAAATTACCAAAGACCCAATAAACAAGATTATTTTATTTCTATAAAAATTTTCATGAATTCCTAGTTTGTCTTCAGCATTTTTTGTGTGTGATGTTGCCGTAAGCGGAACCGTACACATTCAGTTGGTTGTAAAAGGGGGCTATTTTTAGATGAGCACATTAGCTGGTTAAGCTAGTGGGAGCTTGCGCCATGGGGAAGTGCAAGTTTAAAGGTAACTGGATGGCTAATCCCACGTTCACGACGTGGGTAGCACCGGTTCTAGGCAATAGCTGGAAATTATAGCTTAAATTTAATTTTAAAAATAGCTTAAATTTGGTCAAAGTGGCCTTAAAAAAGGTCTTAAAAAGTCTTAAATTTGGCTCCCTTAAACCTGCAGATACCCTGTCATTTGCACCCATCTCCATTCATGTTCTCACTCCCTGTAAATATTCTGCTGGTCTTGTTATTCGGTCAGTTCAATTCAGTTCAACTTTAATTGTCTTTACCTTGCCCTTTGCACACGTTGAACTTGGAAATTTGGTATTTTTTCTCCACTGCTCCTTCATCTAAGTTGTAAAACTTGAGATCAAAGATGAAGGCAGCATTGGAAGTTACAGCATGCGCACGTGAAACAGGTCTCTCATAATGGGAATGTTTTTGCAGTTGTACTCCCACGTCCCCATGGGAAGTCTTTTGCCCACCGCAGTGAGCTGAAGCAGGCCAAACGGATTGTGGTGAAGCTGGGCAGCGCTGTGGTCACACGTGGGGATGAGTGTGGCCTGGCCCTGGGACGGCTGGCCTCGATAGTAGAGCAGGTAACACAGTTTACATAGCTGGGAGAAAATACTTCAGTGTCCGTGCTTTAAAATCTAAACACTCAGTAACTGGGCTCGTAGGTGGCAATGCTGCAGAACCAAGGCAGGGAGATGATGATTGTCACAAGTGGCGCCGTGGCGTTCGGGAAGCAGCGACTGAGACACGAGATCCTTTTGTCTCAGAGTGTCAGACAAGCCCTGCACTCTGGACAGAACCAGCTCAAAGACATGGTAGCAAAAATAATAAAAGAAATTAACTTTTTATTGAACATTTTAAACGTTTTGTTGAGGTTGACTTCATTTTGTTGCTCAGTCAGTCCCGGTTCTGGAGGCTCGAGCATGTGCAGCTGCTGGTCAGAGCGGTCTGATGGCGTTGTATGAAGCTATGTTCACCCAGTACAGCATCTGCACTGCACAGGTGTGTACAGAGCTTCTCTGGCAGAATCAAAAACTCACACCAGACGACTCCAACCGGGTAATTTCTGCTCTTTTAGATTCTGGTCACCAATCTGGATTTTCACGATGAGCAGAAGCGTCGCAACCTGAACAGCACGCTGCACGAGCTGCTGCGGATGAACATCGTTCCCATCATCAACACCAACGACGCTGTCGTTCCTCCCCCTGTTCCCAACAGCGACTTGCAGGGGGTGAATGTGGGTACTCTGTGTGATCCTCACAAGGATTTCAGTTTTTCTGATGAATGATGGTTTTAAAAATTCAAATTGAATGTTTTCTCTCTAAGTTAAGCTGATATTAACTGTAATAAATGCCTCCGTTGTGGCATGTTTTCCCCATTAGCTTAAAAAATTTTCTGTATTCCAGGTAATAAGCATAAAGGATAATGACAGCCTGGCTGCACGGCTGGCTGTAGAGATGAAAGCCGACCTTCTCATTGCCCTGTCTGACGTTCAAGGTAAAGGAAAATCTAGCTGAAAGTGGGGAAGGGGGTGCTCCAACTATCTGGGATTGGGGAAATAGTCTCGCGGGTGTTAAAAACCTTCTCGACTCTTGACGGGGGAGGCTGTTGGGCACCTGGCGTTGTCGAGGAGGAAAACACCTGAGAGAATTAATGTTTCAGGGTATCCGCGGGTCCTTAAAAAGTCATAAAAAGCCTTAAATTAGCTTTTCCAAATTTAAAGCCTTAAAAATCCTTAAAAATTACAAATAATCCTTAAATACAGTTTCCAGAGGTCTTAAATGACCAAAGACCCAATAAACAAGATTCTTTTATTTCTATAAAATTTTCGTGAATTTCTAGTTGGTGTTCAGCATTTTTTGTGTACGATGTTGCCGTAAGCGGAACCGTACACATTCAGTTGGTTGTGAAAGGGGGCTATTTTTAGATGAGCACGTTAGCTGGTTAAGCTAGTGGGAGCTTGCGCCATGGGGAAGTGCAAGTTTAATGGTAACTGGATGGCTAATCCCACGTTCACGACGTGGGTAGCACCGGTTCTAGGCAATAGCTGGAAATTATAGCTTAAATGATGAATGACCCGCACTTGTATAGCGCCTCTCAGAGTAAGGACTCCAAAGTGCTTTACACTACAGTGTATCATTCATCCATTCACACACACATCAACACACTGGTGGGGATGAGCCATGATGTAGCCACAGCTGCCCTGGGGTGCGCTGACAGAGGCGAGGCTGCTGAGAACAGGCGCCACCGGTCCCTCCGACCACCACCAGCAGGCAAGGTGGGTTAAGTGTCTTGCCCAAGGACTCAACAACAGTCTTCCAATTACTGGACAACCTGCTCAACCTGTTGAGCTACTGCTGCCCTGCTTAAATTTGGTCAAAGTGGCCTTAAAAAGGTCTTAAAAAGTCTTAAATTTGGCTCCCTTAAACCTGCAGATACCCTGTGTTTATATCATATAGTTCATTTATTTACAGGTTAAAATTCTTGAAGGGAAAACAAATCAAACAAAAAATAATTCCACTTAATAAACTCTCTTTACCCTGCGACCTTCTTAGCAAACTTGTATGAAATAAAATATTTGATATTTTTTTACTTGTGTGGACTTTATTTTCAGTTATTTATGAATCTTAAAAGTTAAAGTCCCATTGTTGTGAAAATTGTCCTCCACATTTGACCCATCCCCGTGGGGAGCGCCGAGCTACAGCTGTGGCTGTGCTCGGGGACTGGCTAACCCCCCAATCCAACCCCTTAAAGCTGAGTGTCAAGCAGGGAGGCATTGGGTCCCGTTGTTAAAGTCTTTGGTGTGACCCGACCGGGATTTGAACCCGATATCCCAGTCCCAGAACACTACCACTAGACCACTGAGCTGGTTGAAATACTACTCGTACTTATTAGATGATAAATGTGTTTACTAACTCCATATGAGACTTTCTTGATTAAAAACAGCTGCTCTTGTCCTGCAGGTCTATACGACAGTCCCCCGGGAACAGACGATGCTAAGCTCATAGATATATTTTACCCTGGAGATCAGCAGTCCATCACATACGGCACCAAGTCCAGAGTCGGCATTGGAGGAATGGAAGCCAAGGTCTGCGTGACCGACGAGATTCCGTCAGAATAAAATAACGGGTAATGATAAACTCATGTTCACTCTATGGTTCCAACCAGGTGAAAGCTGCCCTTTGGGCCCTTCAGGGAGGAACCTCCGTCATCATCGCCAACGGCACCGATCCCAAAGTTACGGGCCACGTCATCACCGACATCGTGGATGGGAAAAAAATTGGCACCTTCTTCTCTGAAGTGAAACCAGCAGGTGATGGGTGAAACCAGATGAAGAAGATGTTGGACCCGTTTCTTGTGTGGATGTGATTTTATATTTGGTACCTCCAGGTCCGACTGTGGAGCAGCAGACGGAGATGGCACGGCACGCCGGCAGGGCTTTGGCCTCCCTGCTGCCTGAGGAGGTATGAGTAAACCAAAGGAGCACGACTTTAATACTTTATCAGTTTTTGAATTACTCGTGGTGGTGATGGGTTTTCATCTTGTGTGTTTTTAGAGAGGAGAAATCATCTGCTGCCTTGCTGAGCTTCTTACAGAGAAGAAAGATGAGATTCTTAGCGCTAACAGGAAAGACATGGAGCTGGCGACGGCAACAGGTAGAGCAGTGAACCCAAAACTCAGCATCAGGCAGAAAATTCTCTCATTTAGGAAAACGGGGAAAAAAATTCTGGTCTTCTCTGGCAGGAAGAACTCTGTTCCCGTTAGACCCATTTCCGCTATCAGAATTTCCTGGGTAATTTCACCAGACCTTTGCAGCATTTGTGTGTCTCCATTTCACTGGGCCGGCGCGAAGGGACCATATTCCGGGTTGTTTTAGGGACTAACCGAGTACCCGAACAGGGGTATGTTCTCTGGAATGGCCCAGTAGCATAGCTGTGCGGGGCTTGTGCTTAACTCGTGCTGATTGGTTGTATAATTATTATATATAATAATAATTATAACATCCCGTCATGGTTGAAAAATGGTTCCAAAATGAAAGTAGAACTGATGTCTTTTCTGACCATGAATTCAACACCTTTCCACACCTCTCGTTTGGACGTTTGATGACCGTCAGCGTGTGTCTTATCACTGTATTACTCTTAGGGGTGTAATGGTTCACGGGGGGGATGTTGAACCGTTTCGGTTCAGCCTGTTCGGTCCAGTTGCGTACCATTTCGGTTCATTTTCCATGAAATAATATTTCCGTTTAGTTCTTAAAATATTTTTTTATATTTTATATGTGTTTAATGTATTATATTGTAACTTTTTCTGAACTAATGATTGATATGTGTTTGAGGAGCCATTCCCCTGGTGTTCTTTTTCCAGAACTAGAATTTCATTTTCCAGCTGGTCAATGTCCTTTGTATATATTTTTTTTTTAAACCTTTGGTAAAGGAGATTATCTGTCCTCTGAGGTAGGCCTTTAATGTATCCCATGGAATTAAGCTGTTAGGTGAGGAGGCGCAGTTTGTATCACAAAACAATTTAAGCTGTTCCCTTATGAATAAGCAAAAATCAGTTCTTTGAAGGAGAGTAGGGTTGAGGCGCCATCTATAGGGCATATTTGCCTTATCGGAATAAAATGGACAAAGTTAATGGTGAATGATCAGATAAAGTTCTAGATAAATATTCAACATCTGTTACTCTATGGAATAAATGGGCAGATGATAAAATTAAGTCTATCCTAGTGTGGGATTTATGGAGGCCTGAATAAAATGAATAATCTCGGGTTTGGGGATGCGTCCGTCTCCAAATATCTATTAAATTTAAGTCTTTCTTGTAATTTTGAGTAACTTTAGACGCCTTTGATCTGGAGATGGTTTTAGTCGACTTGTCCAGAACAGGATCTAAGCAGAAATTGAAATCACCGCCTACTAAAATATTATGTCCCCCTGCAACCTTCAAGAATACATCTTGCATAAATAGCTCATCGTCATAGTTGGGTGTGTACAAATTTAGGAGTGACCAATGTTCAGAAAATATTCTACAACTGACAAAAACATAACGTCCTGAAGAATCAATATTCGTATCCAGTATTTCCAAAGGTGTCTTTTTATTAATCAAAATGGCCACCCCTCTAGCTCTTGAATTAAATGATGATGACACCGCCTGGCCTACCCATTCTCTTTTCAATTTTTTGTGTTCTTGCGGAGTGAGATGAGTCTCCTGTAAAAAAGCATTATCTACTTGTAACTTTTTAAGATACGTTAGGACTCTTTTTCTTTTAATTGGTTCGTTCAGCCCATTAACATTAAAACTAACAATTTTCAATACGCTTCCCATAGCAATTCCATTTTTTGTACAGATTTAACCTGACCTTTATTAGCATAATGGCAAAAATACATTTTCAAAAATAATTTCCCAAAAAGATGGAGCACCCACCAAAAGAACAGAAGAACCCCAAGTAATGATAAAAGGAGAAGAAAAAAAAACACACCCTTAAACCCCCCAGTGCCAAACCCTGAACATGTGGCCCAACTCCCTCCACCTGTGTTGGTCTTCTACTTGTGAACAACAAGTCTCGCTCAAATCTAAGATTTCTTATCTTCCAGAAGTCTCTCAATTTGCAGTGTTTTATATTATGTGAAACACATACATTTTAAACTCAAATATTAATGATCGCGGTTATAATTACTTATGGCGCCCAAAATATCTAGTCCCGCAATTGAACTTTAATTAATCAACAGTAACTTACGGCTCATAAGATGATCAGAAAAGGAATGAAGGCAAAATGCCGCCGTTGTTTAGCACCTCATCCGTTCGGTTCCCCCAATTGTGGTTCTTCACAAATACTGCCGCTTCCTTTGGTGTTTTGTAGAATTTCCTTGTTCCGTTCAGGAGCAATATCCTCAAAGTAGCAGGGTAGAGTAGGGCAAACTGGACGTTCCTGGATCTCAGCTCCTTCTTTACCTGGTCGTGTTCCTTTCGGCACCTCAACACACTGGCACTCAGGTCTGGAAAGAACATTATTGGCTTCTTCTCGTACAAGGGAGCTTTATCTTCCTTAGACAGCTTTGCAGCCACACAGAGTATCTTCTCCCGATCCTGGTAATTGAGCAGGCAGTGTGTCTTCAGTGGTTTGGGGAAATATGTTTGTACATAAAGAGCAAGTCACCCCCAAATCTACCTTTTTTTTCCTGATAAACTATATAAATGCGTGTCTAACCGTGCTGCAGACATGTGTAGTCAATAGTTTTGCACTTTAGTGCATTTTAGTTCAAATTTAAATTTTCTGCCTAAAACTGTCAGTGTTGTGCCGTTGTCAGGTAAAACCTCTGCACTGCATTTGAATTTAAATCTGCCATCGCTATTAGCTAAGAGGTACCCTAGATTGTTTGCTGGGACCATATGATGTCACAATGTTGTTGTGAGCCTGTATGTGTTTGTATTTGTTAGCGGCTCCGCCCTCTCCGTCTGCTAGGCAACAGCATTTGTTGCATTTTTCAAACAGGTAGTGGGAGTTGAGTAATAATAATTATAACGTCTAGCAGGGGTGACATGCTCTTTAAACAGTAAAAAAAAACCTCTTAATGGTATTAATGCCCTTGGACACTTTTTGGGGCCAAAACGGTCGCTATAAGCTATAAGCTGACATCTTAAGCCTGGTCACCGTAACCTCCGCAATGGAGAGACGCACACGGAGTGTCTGAAAGGTTTTCTCATTCAAACTTCTGTTCAGGCAGCAGAGTGTTGCAAAGCAGGACAACAGAGGGTGTAACGTTTTCTGTGGCATCCTGTCACCAGAACACTCGTTTATCCGGTGCAGGATATACATTTACCAATGTGTTTATATATTTCAGAGACTTTATAACATGGACAAATTTGTCCTCAACCTCTTCATGCGGTCGCCACCTCTAACCTACTTTTCCTGTTGTTTCCGTCCACGTTTGCTTCGTTTTTTGTGCTCCTTCATTCACGAGTGAATAAATGTTCGTATTTTGAAACTTTCCGTGATGCATTGTTCATTCTCTACACATGGGTTCATACAATATCTGTTTACTTTTTAACGGGGCAATAACGGTGCTGGTGAGGAATTAACAGGAAGCGGCGCCCTGACCAATCACAAGGTTGCGGTCTCCGTGACTTTCGACGGATGTTTAAAATTTTGGGCATGTCTCCGTTCCTCAGTTAGCCCGTCGGAGAGCCCTTGCTCCAACACATGATGATGTTGTGTGTCTTTGCACCGACGCAGACGGAGAGGTATAAATCAGGCTTTAGTCCTGAAAAGGACGATTTTCTATGGAGATACAACTGAGAGGACCCAGCCTCCATACCTTTCCCGTCACCTCCCTGAAATATCTCAGATCTTCTATAGTGGAAACACGCTTTTGTCACAGACCACTTTCCATTTCAGCTCATTCCAAATACTTCAGCCTCTTAATTTTCTTCACCTGTCTCTCTGCAGGTCGTTTGTCCCAGCCTCTGATCAGTCGTCTGAGCCTTTCAACCGCTAAGCTGAACAGCCTGGCCATCGGCCTGCGCCAGCTCGCCGCGTCTTCCAGGAACAGCGTGGGTCGAGTGTTGAGAAGGACCAAGGTGGCTAACAACCTGGAGCTGGAACAGATCACGGTCCCCATCGGGGTCCTGCTAGTTATCTTTGAGTCGCGTCCCGATTGTCTCCCTCAGGTCCGACTGTCCTGATGCTCATAATGTGCCACTAATTGTTTTGTTTAAGATTTATGGAAAATAAAACGTTAAATGTTGGATTTCAGGTGTCGGCTTTAGCTATTGCCAGTGGGAATGCACTGCTGCTTAAAGGAGGCAAAGAGGCATCCAACACGAACAAAATCCTACATCAGCTCACCCAGGAAGCACTCTCGATTCATGGGGTGGCAGATGCCATTCAGCTGGTGAGAACGAACCTTTTTACGTTCACTCGGTTTCCTTTTAACGGCGATGTTGTTTTAACGTCAGAGTAACGCTTGCATTGTGTTGTAGGTGAGCACACGCGAAGAAGTCGAGGATCTGTGCAGATTAGACAAGTTGATAGACTTGATCATTCCAAGGGGTTCATCCCAGCTGGTCCGAGACATCCAACGAGCAGCTAAGGGCATTCCCGTGCTGGGCCACAGCGAGGGCGTCTGTCACGTCTACGTAGACGTCGATGCCAGCGTAGACAAAGCTATCGACGTCGGTGTGTTCGGGTTTCACTTAAACTGAAACAAAAATTAAGTTACTGTGTTATTCTAACCTCGTGCTCTATATAGCCGTGGTTATTTTCTTACTGGGATGGACCAAACTGACAAAAGTACTTTTCATTCTAGTCAAAGACTCCAAGTGTGACTACCCTGCAGCCTGCAACGCCATGGAGACCCTCCTGATTCACAGAGATTTGCTGCGGACTCCCATGTTTGACCAGATAATTGACTTGCTGAGAGCAGAACAAGTAGGAAACTCTTGGATTCAGACAGAAATCCAGTTTACTGTGATTCTCCTTCTTGAAATGACGTTTGGAACTTCACGGAGAAAAAAACTCTGCTGCTCACTTCTTGTCTTTTGCTTCTTTCAGGTGAAAGTCCATGCAGGTCCTCGCTTTGCTTCCTATTTAACCTTCAGCCCCTCTGAGGTGAAGTCTCTCCGCACAGAGTATGGTGACCTGGAGTGCTGCATCGAGGTGGTAGACAGCATGCAGGATGCGGTGGACCACATCCACAAATATGGCAGCTCCCACACTGACGTCATTGTCACCGAGAACGAGAATACAGCCGAACAGTTCCTGCAGCAGGTCGACAGCGCCTGTGTGTTCTGGAACGCTAGCTCTCGCTTCGCCGATGGCTACCGCTTCGGCCTGGGTGTGTATTCTGTTGGTTTTATACTTTTTCAATCCGCTTGAATCTACTTCTGGATTCAGAATACAGCAAAAGTCACACGGCGTTTTTAAAATGATCTTTACAGGAGCCGAGGTTGGCATCAGCACAGCCAGGATACATGCCCGTGGTCCAGTGGGTTTAGAGGGACTTCTCACCACTAAGTGGGTTCTTCGAGGGGAGGGACACACTGTGGCTGATTTCTCTGAACAAGGCAGTATGAAATATCTCCATGAAAACATCCCAGTTCCTCAGGGGACTCTAAATTAGTTACTGACAAAAGAACAATATCAAGAGGACTCAACCCAACTGGTGTCAGCCAAGACTTTCTTTAGAGGTTTGTGTCTGCCAGTAGCATTTCCACCTGCTAGTGTCTAGTTTATCACCTGTGTTGGAAACTGTAATCCTGAAAAATGACTACTTTTATTGGACAACCAAATTCTTTCTGGGTTTTTTTTCTTGGTCATTTCAGTTTTATCAGATATAGAAAAAACTCCCAGCAATGTGTGTTAAATAACCGAGCAGTAAAGGAATTGTGCAAAAATGTAAAAAGGTGAAACATGATGCAGACGAGGAGGAATCATTTTCCTCTGCCAGACCATTGGAATCACTGGCCCAGTTGAGGGTTTTCTAATTTATTTTTCTACGTGTAAACGCTCGTGCAGGATCATGGTTAAGATTTGTTTTGCTGTCCTTTTTTTCTTTTTGCACAGAGATGAATAAATATGATGTACAGTTCTTAAAACACAAACTTTTCTGTTCATACTTAAAATTGAAACAAATACAAGCAGCAGTATTGTATAGCTTTACTTTTGCATTTAGGGCAGTGTTGTTCAACCCAGGTGCCCATGGCTTCAATTTCCAGTACTTTTAGTCTTATCTAAGCTCCAACGCACTCAGTTCATTGGTTCTTTAGACCATTTTAGCAGGCCATCAAGCTCTGCAGAAGCAGCCACTTTGAAATATCAAGTCCATTGGAGCAGACATCAAGGATGGTGGCCCTCGAGGACCAGGATTGGTGACGACTTTTGTAAGGCTGTCTGAAGGTGGCCTTTATAACCGTTGTTCAGACTGTTTACATATTCTCAGTTTAGGGATAGTTTGTTTTAACACGGAATTGAGCGATTCACCGTTTGATTTTAATTGCAGTAAACCTATAGCCTGGCAAACCAAACTTTGCAAAGCAAGAATTTGGTCTGGTTTTCTAAGTCAAAGATCTCTGACCCCTTCCCGTCTGGCTTTCTGAAGCAGCACTCAACTGAGACTGCTCTAGTAAGGGTGCATAATGACCTCCTGATGGCTGCTGATGCAGGGAAATGCTCTGTCATGGTCCTGCTAGACCTCAGTGCAGCTTTTGACACTGTAGACCACAACGTTCTACTAAACAGGTTAAAGGCCCTGGCTGGGATTTCAGGTTCTGCTCTAGACTGGCTCTCTTCCTATCTCACCAACAGAACATTCACAGTGAAGTCAGAAAACTTCTCTTCAGATACTGCCTCTCTAACATGCGGGGTCCCACAAGGTTCAGTTCTAGGGCTTCTACTATTCACATTCTATATTCTTCCCCTAGCTGGCATCATTCAGTCTTTCCCAGACATCTCCTACCACATCTACGCTGATGATATTCAGCTCTATATGTCCTTTATGCCACACCAGTTGGACAGGCTGGCCACACTTGTAATCTGCCTGACCCAGATCAGTAACTGGCTGTCCAGCAACTTTCTTGTCCTCAGTGCTAACAAGACAGAGACCGTGATCGCCGGAACTTCAGCCAAAAATCGAGCAAGAAATTGCCTCTTTTTGCCCATCAGCCAAGGCCAACATTAGAAACCTAGGAGTTATTTTTGATCCAGCTTTAAGTTTAGACTCACACGTCAAAACCATCTCCCGCTCTTTGTTTCTTTCAACTGAGAAACATTTCAAAAGTCCGTAAACTGGTTTCTACTGCAGATCTGGAAAAAATCATCCATGCCTTTGTGTCATCACGCTTAGACTATTGCAACGCTCTTTTTACTGGTCTTAGCAAAACCTCCCTCTCACGCCTTCAAGCCATCCAAAATGCAGCAGCCAGACTCCTAACCAAGTCCAGCAGACGAGCTCACATCACTCCAGTTTTACAGTCCCTCCACTGGCTCCCGGTAGAATATAGAATTCAGTTTAAAGTTTTAGTCCTGACCTATAGAGCTCTTAACAACCAGGCTCCAAGCTACCTATCTGAGCTTTTATCCCCACACACCACCTCTCGGAACCTTAGATCCACATCTGAAAACCTCCTGGCTGTTCCTCGAACCAGACTGAAAACCAAAGGGGACAGGGCCTTTCAGACTATTGCACCCAGACTTTGGAACAGTCTACCTTCAAATCTCCGTCTCTCTAACACTGTAGAGGTCTTTAAAAACCGTCTAAAAACTCACCTTTTCATCCAGGCGTTCCCTCCCTAAATGTTTCAAAAAGATGGCTTTGTTCTTGTTCACACCTTCACTTTGTTTATACTCATGATTTTATTTTCTACGTTGATCACTGCTATTGTTTTTCTGATGTTTTTATTGGTTAGAGGTATTTGCCCTGATCTTTATCAAGTTGTACAGCGCTTTGTGCTTTATATCTGTGAAAGGCGCTATATAAATAAACTTTTACTTACTTACGTACTTACTAGGCTAGTAAACCTATGCACACATAAGGACTTTCAAAGTTCCCACTTCTCCTGAACGTTACATTGCAGACGTACTGCCGGTGGGCGGGGTTTCGCTTTCAGCAGTATTTACCTGGTGGCCTGGGAAACTCAGCTGTCAGCTGTGTGGACAGTGGAGATGGCAGGGAACAAGTCTTACACTATAGTAGAATATTTTGGCGGAGATGACGGCTACCGTTGTGGTTATTGTAAAAACGAAAAAGGCAACTTTTCTAACGGTAAGTATAGTCAAAAGTAGGGAAGAACCCCGCTAACGGAGCTTTTCGTTTTGTGCTAAAAGTAGCTGCGTGTGTTTTCTTGAATGGTAACCGGGTGTGGGTTAAAAGTAAGTTACAGTCGGTAAAACGGGGGTAAAACTGTCAATATCAGTGAAGTTGCAAATTGTCTTTAAACTTAAACATCGTTGAGGCTCGTTAGCATTTGTCTACTGCTACATACTGCTAGCTGGGCTAAGTTTTTAGCTAGTAGCCTAATGTAGCTCATCTGTAGCACTCGGAAGAAAATAACAGTACTCAAGCAATCACACGGGTCCAGGTGTAACAGTAATTTTTAGGGGCATAATATAACAACTCAATTTTTCGACAACGTTTTCCTCTAGAGTAACATTTTTACCTCAACATGTACGCTTGTTAACATTTTTGCTAGCACCTGTGCTAGCCATTTCGGTCGGACAAGAGGTGAAATGCATAATTTAGTCTCTAAAAACAGAACATGTGATTGACTTGACCTGAGCGGTCTCTTGTTTCACGTCTCCTGGTGCCTTGCTCAGACGACATATGTATTTGTATTTCTGGGATTTGTGGAAAAGCACGTAATAAAACATTTCACCGCAATTTAAATTTTGGAGGCAGCATTACTCGAGTTGGATAAAACTACATATCCAGATTGATCATAGGAAAAAAACCAAAACAAAGCAGGGAGTCTTTTCATTGTCATAATGTTAATGAACTCTGATCTTTAAACCGGTTGAGAGTTTAATAAACGGCTTTTATTTTGTTCCATATATTAATATTTATGCTCACTATATAGCAATGCCTTTACTGGGTGGTGTTAAAAATCTGATAGCTTTATGAATTTAAATTGCTCCTAAGTTAAATTAAATTCTGAGGTGTACAGTTGAAAAGCACATTTTTAAAAGCTTGAATCACACTGTTTGGGCTTGAGTTTTTATTTACTAAAATATGAGTGACTTACAGTTTTGTTGGTGATGAAAAAAAAAAGACTGGTAGTTTTTGATCCTCCCTTTGAGAACAAGAAGTCATTGACAGGGTGGGAGTTTGTGTTTGGAACAGAATGGTGACATTGAGATGAATCACAATGACTATAATTAGGTTTCTGGCAAGTCAATGATCAACCGGGCACAGAGTCAGCAGACACAAGCTGTAATCTAATCCAAGAGTGGTAATCTGTTATGTCATGTGGACATGGTAGGCTCTAAAAACTCAGACATCACATCGTTTGCAGTTATTAAACAAGGCCATTTTTACTTTCTTGCATATCCACATAAGATGAAAGGTGTTTGGAACTGATTTTGATTTGATCCCTCAGATTATGCCTGTTTTATTGTTTGCTTGTATTTTCCTGAATTTATAAACAAGTCTGTATACTGGGAAAATCAGTTTTTTGCAGGCTTTTCAAAGCAGGTGTTGATGCGGGTTCAGGGATGTCATCAAGTGTACAAAGAAAATGTGATTCGAACAAAGCTCAACATCTGCTGCCATTGTGCCCTTTATTTTCCAGCAGATGCTGATATTCGATAACGTAACCCTGTTTGCCATTATGACGACCACCACCTCACTCTCCTCCACATGTGTCCTGAACCTTTTGGCCTCTTTTCTCAGTGTGATCCATCAATCAATCAATCAAAGCTTTATTTATAAAGCGCCTCCCGCAACCCTGTCAGGAAGCCCAAAGTGCTGAACATGGTTTAGTTGAAGGTAAATATATTGAATAAATCAAAAATAAAAGCAATTCAAATTACAAAATACAAATTACAAAATAGGTGAAACATTCTGGTACAGGACAAATGTGTAAAACAATGGATTGAGTGAACCAATGAAAACTGAAATAAATTCAACATAAAAGAGGGCCAAAATCAAACATGTTCTGGAAACGCCAAGCGGAGGAGGTGTGTTTTTAGGCGACTCTTACAGTCTGGCAGAGATGGGGACAGCCTAACCGAGGGTGGCAACTGGTTCCAGAGTGACGGTGCTAGTACCGAGAAAGCCCGGTCCCCACGGGTACGACACCTACAACGAGGAACAGCGAGCAGGCCTTGGTCAGAGGAGCGCAGAGCGCGTGATGGGTAATGTCTGTTCAGGAGTGTGGCTAGATAGGGGGGACCACCACCCTGGAAGAAATGATAAACAAAGACGAGGATTTTGAATTGTGAGCGATAGCAAACCGGAAGCCAGTGCAGGGAGGCCAGAACCGGACTGATGTGGTCCTGTTTCCTGGTCCCAGTCAGGAACCTGGCTGTGCTGTTCTGCACAACCTGTAGGCGACGCAGTGATGACTGACACAAGCCTGCATAGAGAGAGTTGCAGTAGTCAAGCCTAGAAATATCAAAGGCATGCAGTGCCCGCTCCAGGTGGGCTCTCGACAGCATATGCTTGATTTTTGCAAGGCGTCTCAGGTGAAAGAAACTTGACCGGATCACAGAATTGATGTGAGCATCAAATTTAAGTCCAGCATTAAGTTTCACCCCCAAACTGGTAACAACTGGTTTTGAGTAGGGAGAAAGAGGGCCAAGATCAACATAACGATCCCTATTCCTGCTGTTGGGGTGAAAAACAATGAGCTCTGTCTTTCCCTCAGTAGAACGTTGGGCATTAGCCAAGCCTTCACCTCGTTAAGACAGGACACAAAGGACTGGATAGAGTGACCTTTCTCCTGACACAATGGAGAGTAAATCTGACAATCGTCAGCATAGAGATGGAATGATAGGCCATGTTTACGAAAGATTGACCCCAGAGGTAGCAGATAAATGGCAAACAAAAGAGGACCAAGGATCGATCCCTGCGGGACCCCCCAGCGGAGCCCCTCCCAAGAAGAAAAAACATCACCCAGTTTAACACAGAATGTCCTGTTTTGGAGATACGATCCAAACCAGTCCAGAGCAGACCCTTTGATCCCAACCCATCGTTCCAAGCGATCGAGTAGAATCGCGTGGTCAATTGTGTCGAAGGCTGCTGTCAAGTCTAACAACAGAAGCACCACAGTAGAGCAGACTCTGTGCTATGGCCAGACCTGAACCCTGAACCCTGATTGGAAAACCTCAAACAGATCAGAGTCAGCTAAATGTGAGACCAGCTGCTGATAAACGACTTTCTCAAGCAGTTTTGATGTAAAAGGCAGGGTAGAGATAGGCCAGCAATTTTCTGTCACAGAGACATCAGCACCAGGTTTCTTCAGGGTCGGCCGAACAACTGCAGCTTTCAAAGCAGCTGGGACCACACCTGTGTTGAGGCTCCCATTGATAATCTGACCAAGTGAAGGGCCAAGGCACGGAAAGGCAGCCTTCCAGAGACGAGGCGGCAGAACGTCAAGTGGAGAGCCAGATGGCTTCTGCCTCGCAACTAGCTTACTCAGCTTAGAGTATGAAACAGTATTGAGGGAGCTCAGGGTGGGTGGTGATGGAGGAACTGGAACAGGGTCAACAGAGTTACCAGAAATATCTGCTCTAATACCTGATACTTTATGAACAAAGAATCTGTGAAAATCTTCAGAGTTTCCAGCAGCTGTAGGAGACATGGAGCTAGGCTCCTGATACACCAGAACAGAATTTAGTGTTTTGTAGAGAATCCTGGGATTCTTGGAGTTTGTTTTGATGTCTGCAAAATAGGCCGTTCTAGCAGCCCTCACAGCATCCTGATAAGCAACCAGAGATGCTCTGAACAACTCACGCGAGACCTGTAGGCCATCCTTTTTCCGCTTTCTCTCAGAGGCTCTACACGCCCGCCTACAAGCCCGTGTGACATCAGATAGCCAAGGCTCCCTCCTAGGCATGATGTCATACCTGGTTATTTTTGTGGCTTTAATTAGTACAGCCACAATCTGTTTTATGGCCCTATTCCACTAGAACATACTCGGCATGGGTCAAACCCCGTTCTGGTGGTTTTCCATTACAATTTAAAAATGTCTCTTGTGGGTGGGCTCTTCATAGTGGGGCGCCCCCTAGAGTTTGAAAACTGTTGCGCTGTAGGGCTGGGTCTCCCTAGCCTGGCGGGCCTCTCGCAGACCCTGGGGATGTGGACCAAGATTATTCATTCTTTAAGCTGAATATGAGCGCTCTCACTCTCTGGAGTAGGGTCCAGCCAGCCGAGGGGTGCGTCTGCTTGGGCTACAGAAACACCTTAATTGGGGTTACTGTAGCTTCTCACAAACCAATCAGAACGGGCATCAAAATATGTTATTTTCCCTACTACGTTTGTCGAAATAAAAGTCTACACTAATTGATCGTGTCGCACCGCCACAGTAAAATCAAAGCTGCCACATCTATAGAATGCATTTTAGTTAATTGTTTAAGATATTGTAATGACTCCTATTCTGTTTCAGATCTTTATTCCAGGGTACTGTTGTAAAATGGTAAATGGCCTGTATTTTATATAGCGCCTTCTAGAGTCCTGGAACCCCCCAAGGCACTTTACAACACAACCAGTCATTCACCCATTCACACACACATTCACACACTGGTGGTGATGAGCTACGATGTAGCCACAGCTGCCCTGGGGCGCACTGACAGAGGCGAGGCTGCCGAGCACTGGCGCCACCGGTCCCTCCGACCACCACCAGCAGGCAACGTGGGTTAAGTGTCTTGCCCAAGGACACAACGACAGCGACAGACTGAGCGGGGCTCGAACCTGCAACCTTCCGATTACGGGGCGAGCACTTAGCTCCTGTTAGCCGCAGCCCATGTCTTAAAGGGACTATAAAGAAGTTTGACAGCCAAAACATGTATAGAAATAATAAATGTCTTCTTCATACATTCTCCTGCAATGCCCTGGTCCTGTAGAATGAGCCCTGGCATTTTTACTGTGATTGCCTGTTTTTCTGTAAAATCACAGAAAAAGAGAGATGCTCGGGTCGAGCAGGCTGCTTCATGGGCGTTCATGCTCAGGCATAGCCCGTAGCATTTGCTATCTGTAGCTTTAGTCTTTGTCGCTGTTCCTAACACCTAGTGACAAAGCTAGCTACATTTCTGAGGACCCTTAGCTACTTTCTGTAGAACTTTCTTCTAGATATTTCCTGCAAATTAGCAACAAAATAGCCATTTTCGCTCCAAATTGTTCTTTGAATTGACCTTGTTTCAGCTGTCATCAAGGATATAAACGTTACAGATAGGTTCAATGTCACTGGCGCTTTAGCTCACCTATTAAGATGTCTGACTTTCATACAGAAGACCTGGGTTTGACTCCAGGTGTGAACATAATTGGTTATTTGTAGTTTCTTTTTTACATTAATGGTATACTTTTTTACAGTAATAAGAGGCCCAAATTTTTATTTGAGACTCGCCAAACGGCATTGAATTCACAGATAAAAAAGATGTGGGTTCAACTTTCATTTTGGAACAATTTTTCAAGCAAGGGAAGGGAATGATCTGAGCATGCAGGAGGACTGACCCATCTTAAACCTTTGTCGGCTGTGCTGAAGAGAAAGGTACAGAACCTAATTATTTAATTGATTAGCTGCACGTTCTCCTGTCCTCTGTCCTCCGGGCCACACACACACACACACACACACACACACACACACACACACACACACACACACACACACACACACACACGCGCGCGCGCGCACGCACACACACACACACACACACACACACACACACACACACACACACACACACACACACACACACACACACACACACACACACACACACACACACACACACACACACACACACACACACACACACACACACACACACACACACTGCACGTTTGGCCGCCCGACGAGAGAGTGCAGCTGCAGAGACATAGGCACGTTATTTTTATTAATTTGCTGTGTTCTTCTGTCCTCCTGGCCACACGCACACACACACACACACGCGGGACTGTCTCAGCTGTTATTTTCGTTAAGGAGTGTGCACGTACAGCATGCGCGCCTCATGCACGAGCTTACTTTTGAAGCTGCCGTTACGCATTAGGCCTGAGTGGCGATGGCGAGCATAAAAACTTCAAACTAACTTAAGCCCTTTTCAGACAAGCATTCTGGAACATTTGCGGACAATTCAATCCGGTTTTAACCGGAACTGTGTTTTCAGACACACCACTTTTGTACCGGAACTTGTCCTTTCGGCTACGTTCACACAGCAGGGAAAAGTTCCAGATGTCTGACGGCGGCGGGGGGTGGGGTGGGGTGTAGGATCGGACTTATGTTAAGAAGAAGAAGAAAATATCATTTCTATAGCGCCTCTCAAGATAAAAATCACGAGGCGCTTAAGCATAATTCTGCGCACACGAAGACGCATAAGAGACCTGGATGATGAAGCTCAATGGTTAAAGGAATCACTGAAGCGGTGTGAAGCGCTCCGTCGCGCGTCTAGACGGTACCGTAGGAGGCGAGCTGCCGTGGTTCGCCGTATGCTACAGCAGCGGGCTATCTAGGTGCGCACAGCGTCCCCCGATCCCCTCCTCCTCCCCCTCCCTCTTGTCCGGAACTTTACCTCACCAGTCTGAAGCAGCCACCCTGTCCGTAACAAGTCCGGACCTGTTACTAGGGGCTTCGTCCGGATAAATTCCGGAACACGTTATCCGGATGTTTGTATTCAGACACAAAGGTCTTACGGACAGAGTCCGGAAATTTCCGTTTTTCATGGCCTGTCTGAAGGGGGCTCTAGAGTCCCTTTAAAGCTCCTTTCCGGAGTTTTTCTCTTATCCGATGGCACCATCTAGTGGCTGACAAGCATATCACACAAAAGTCTGTTGCTCAGTTTTTTTAAGATGGCGACTTCACGTTTCTGTTTATAAATGTGCTTCTGTAGCTGACAAACAAGAGCTAAAACATGTTGTTTTACGAGTATTATTCTCATTTCTTGTTGTGTTTTCATATATTTATATTTTAGAGACTTTCTTGTCCGTGAAAAGTTCATCAACTTCGCATCAGCGGAGGTATTTCTTAAATTTGAAGCAAGTAAGCAGCAGTGTAACGCTATTGGTTAGTTCTGGTCGACGCTCCGTTTCCTATTGCACGGAGCTCTGTAGGGTAGGGGCCGTGCTTAGCAAAAAAATACAATAAATTAAATTTCAAACACGTATTGCTTACATTATATCACAGTGCATGATAAGATAATCACTTTTACGGATTTCTGAAAAATCATACATCATTTCTGAAAGGGGAAAACTCCGGAAAGCAGCTTTAACTCCAGGAAAAACAACGTTAACAATCTCAGATCAATCTAGCTCGTTTTTTCTTTCTAAACAACCGAACCGGAACTCTCCACACAACTGGCCACGAACACCCCCTTCAAAATAAAAGTCCAACCATAACAAATCGGAGCCCGTTACACTATTGTAAAACAGTGTAAAGCGTGAAATATATAGCCTATATTTGCGCACTTATAGTAACCATAATTGTAGTTTGAAATGAATTTAAATATCGTGAAACATTTAAATTTTTACTTTATTTTGAAAAGCCACTGGCAGCTACTTCTTATGAGAGTCTGTCCAAAGTAGAGTAGAACGATCTCCCATTTCAACTTCAATATTCATACAAACTGAGTAAAGCAGGAGGCGGGACTTAAACACAGGTTTGGGGTCGGAGAGTGTGGAGCGCGCTCTCACGTCAAACCAGCAACACAAAATAAAATGGCACGGTGAGCACAGATGATCAATAACTGTATTAAAAAAATGGAGAACAGATAGGTGAGCGGAGAAAATATCTTATTTTGAAATATTGGAGGTGAAGTAACATTTCAGGAGCGAATAAGAAGGGGGCGTTCCCGTCTTCAAACAGAAACGCCCCTTTTAGCGGCTGGCCGGATGATATTGTCTCTTTCTCGCTGCTGTAAGGTGCTGGAAATTCTTAATGTTATTGTGATCCCAGCATGTGGAAAACAAAAGGGTCTTTTTTAATGCCTTTGTCAGCTTGATGAGGAAAACTTGAGCTCCACTTTTTGCCCGTAATTCAGTTTGCTACTCGTCCTTTTTGTTGTAGAGGCTCACCCATTGGTGTGTCTTCTCGAGGTTAAATGGGAGTTCAGGACTGGAGAGAAGAGGAGGAGCTTAGCATCTGCTGTAGCTACAGTAATAAATGTGTATGTTTCCATTAGGGCCTTTAATCTGGGAAAATGGTCCTGAAGGGATATTGCCATTTAAAGCAGCAATGAACATTTTTCCCAAACACTCGAGCCTTTAGTAGCTTCTTGAACTCTAATTTAAAATAAAAAAAGTGCCAAGCTCATTCAGACCATCTTTCTGCCTTCTTCTAATATATCAGAATCCTTTCATCACCTCCTTGTTGTTCCCAAAACGCAGTTTTCCACTTTTAACAACAAATATTTAATTATATTTTCATATAAAGATAAAAAAGACATTTGTCTTAAATATTTCATGAATATAGAAATTTCTTTTACAGGTATGTGGTCTCATACTATGACCGTACAAGATTACCAGGATCTAATTGATCGAGGATGGCGAAGGTGAGTTTTCTACAAAATATGATTAAATAAAAAAATAAATGAATCTTTTTTATAAACACTTTAGCACAGCTTCCCCGTTTCTGGCCATATTTCTGCTTTGTCTCTTTTGTATTTTATTTATTTGTGTATCAGGCTTTTGATTTATTCAGTTTATTCAGATTTTCTTATTAACATTCAAACTAAAGCCATGTTCATCAGCACATTTGACCCAGATAAAGTCTGTACGGATGACCCTACCCCAATAGAGCAGAACCGAGTTTGGTGTGCTGTTCTAACCTTTAGAGGTCCTTCACTGAGAAACCTTTTTTTTTATTTATATATTAGAATGTAATCAGTCACTCCAAGTTTAACATGCAGGCAGAACATGAAAATAGTCTCCTACACCTATCTCCTGCATTAGCTTCTGATCTGCGTCACACTGTCACTTAACATTCATGGACTCACTCATCGTGACTCACGACGGGGAAGGCTGTTGTTGGTTTAACGTCCAGGAAACAGCAGAGAACGTCTCTACTAACGGAAGCTAACCGTTAGCATTAGCAACTTCACCACAGAACAGAACTCCTCCAGGCTTGTGTTATTGGTGGAGGTAAAACATCAACATTGCAGAGTAAACAGTTTTGGAGTTGTGTTGTGTTAGCCAATCAGAGGAGAGATGTCCAAATGTCGGGAAACAAGACTCGAAATCCTGAAGCTACTTTCTCCTCCAGATGAATTCCCTGTGCTGATCCAGGTGAATCTAGGGTTGTCACCAGTGGCGGCTGGTGAAAAATATTTTTGGTGGGGCTGTGCTATTTTTTTTTTTTTAAACAAACTTGTGCTTTCTGAGCTTTGTGCACAACTTCACTATTTCCTGAATTAAGCACAGCTCTTTTATTTCCTGTCTTACATCATTGGACAAACTGATTAATCCAGGTGTGTCTGACTATTGGCACGCTGCCTTGCAGACCAAGGTTGAAAAATACTGCATTAAATTGCACATAAAATAACACGACCATAAATGGTAAATAGGCAATGCAAGAGGCAAGTAACAAAAACATTTTGTTTAATTTCAACATTTGAGTGAACACGAAAAATTATGAGCAGGTCACTGTTACAGTAATGGTAGTTAACACCACTTAGACAAAATGCCAGAAATTTACACTGTTAGGACTTATGGAAAGTGGAAACACTTTCATAGGAAATAATGTCATCAGTATCCTCTTACAAATGTCATTTTTCCCACTTTTTGGGACAAATCAGAAATGTTTTATTGTCCCAAAAGCTGGGAAATTTGTTTGCTGCAGCAGAAGTGTAACAAGTAAAATGGAATCAGATTGATGTATGTACAAATTTACTTGAAATACACATTTACATGATTAAATATGTATAATAGGTATGTGTGTTGAAATTAGTTTTTACAGTTATTGCACATTAAACAATGTACATGTTATTAAACAAATGTCCCGGTTTGTGGGACAACCAAGGATTTCTGATTCTGATTGTCTTGTTTACAGAAATGTAATGTACAGCTTACCTCTGCACCCAGCTACTGTTCTCCCTGTCCAAACGTCCTCCGTTTCTTTGTTGGCTGCTGCACTGATGCGCTGCATTCCTCAGTCAGAGAATGAATGGAGTCCCCAATGAGACACAAGTTCCACATCCACCTTCTGTGGATCCCAGCCGTTTTGAATAACAAACACAGAAAGCAAAATAACGCATTAGCGTGATTGCATCCAGCTAGCCACTGCTTCCTGGTGTACCAATTTTGGGAGAAGCGTCGTGTGTACAGTTTACCGTTCTTGTCCTGCTGGCTTATCTTTATGTCGGGCTGATCTGGTCCAAGCTCTTTAACATTAAGTTTTTCCACCATAGTCCTCCTCTCGAACGGATACTGGAGAAGAGACCAAACTGAATTCAGTGGCTGCTGAGATCCGGTATCCTGGGTTTAGGCTCACTGGCGTCCATGTCTGCGTCTGCTCCATGTGCGTCACGAGTCACGACCAAAAACGTGCTGGAGTCGAGACTCTCCGAGTTCTACCGAACACCAACGAAAGCCTTGGCGGTAGCTCTATCGCCCATCATGCTTCTGAAACGTTCTGAAACAACGTCGACGCTGATTGGATACATTCCCATTCCTACCCTTTGATTTTCTTGTCAGCAATTGGACAACTGGTCCCGTCTTGTTTGGGCGATTGAAAAACAGCACACAGCCTCCATCGCTCGGCAGAGACCGGCAGAGAGCAATATATGTATGTATGTATGTATGTATATATATATATATATATATATATATATATATATATATATATATATATATATATATATATATATATATATAATATATGATTTATTTTTGTTACAAAACACACAATTAACTTAGAATACGTGATTATTGTTAATTTTATTTATTTATTTTTTTAAAATAAAAATTAAAAACAGTGGGGAAACTGGGAGGGCGGCGCCCTATCGCCCTCTACTGGCCAGCCGCCACTGGGTGTCACAGTGTGAAAATTTAACCTCACGGTTATTGTGACCAAAATTACCACGGTTTTCGGTATTATCGCGGTATTTTTTTAAACGTGTTACATTTTCAGACAACTAAATAAACCCTGTATATCAGGAAAATATTGTCCTCAGTTTGTGTCTAACTTTTGCCTAAACTGTGTTATTTTGTAATTATGTTGTTTATTTGTTTACATTTTTTCCCTTTAGTCTTTAAAATACCAATATTTGCCCATAACTGTCATGTTTTGTCTGTTTGATGCCATCATTTAAAAAATATTAGATCAGATGATACTCAGTACTCAAGTAGCCTTCTAATCAGATACTTTTTTACCCTTACTTGAGTAATAAACCCTATATCAGGAAAATATCGTCCTCGGTTTGTGTCCTTCCAGTGAGCTTTGCAGATGTGGGAAAATGTCATCAGGCAGTAATCGTTGTTAAATTCATAATTATTCTCGGAGAGAGACCAACTCTTATCGGCCCCTGGGAGCCCCGTAATGCATAGCGTCATTTCAACATGGGGGTGTCCGGGACACGGTTTATATGCAGGTAGCGGCGCTGCGGCTGCTTTATGTAGCGACTCGTTGCGTTCTCCCTCAACCCAAATCCTCGGATCACGCATTTTAGCTAAAACGCTAACGTTAGCCTGCCTTGCGTTGACTGTAGAGTTGTGGGTGATGGTCACGCAGATGTGTCATGAGATTTGAAGCGTTGCTGCCTTTCACAGACACTTTTTCTGCACGTGCTGCAAACAGGATAGCCGTCTTCTATCAGCTGTCCCTCGGCATTCTTCAGATATCCAAAAGATGCCCGTACTTCCCACTTTGTCTTCTTTGAGGGATAATAAATGTCCTGAGCGCTGCCGTCTCCTCCTTTGGCCATTATTTCAGCTTTAGCTTGAAGAAAGTTTTGGTTGTAAACAACAAAGTGCGTATATGCCGCCGGCAACTTCAGCAGATGATACGGTGGCTGGTAAGGGTCACTGCGCCTACACCGCAGCCACGGTAAACCCACCAAGATAATATATTTTTTAAAAAATAAGACAGTTATTATTATTATTGTCAACTTTTTTTGCTGGGGTTTACCACTACATCGGTTACCGTGACAACCCTAGGTGCATCTGACCTTTTTTCCCCAGAGTATGACTTAAAGGCATTCATTCCTACTAGAAACCACTGGAAATGTATAAAATATGAGTGAAGGACCTCTGTAAATACCAAATTTCCTCGACCTCCAAGCCCAACTCACAAAAACCTTTAAAGCATCCCAGAGTCTACAAACACATTCAGGTGATGTTTGTGCTCAAATCAATCAAAATGTTTGTTTTGGTGGCATTGGTCACCTTTCTATTGAGGCTTTTCTGTGAATATCTAGAGTAAACAACAACAACAACGACCCTGACATCCCTGTTTTCCATATTTACCAATTGGTAGCCTGATCCTGTCTCTTGGTTTGACTCGGCCCCTGCTCACTAACTTATGGGCCTCATGAATGCAGCAAATGAATAATATTAAAATGCATTTAACAACTAACTTTTTTCTCCAACAGAAGTGGTAAATACGTTTACAAGCCCACGCTGAAGAAGACCTGCTGTCCACAGTACACCATCAGGTGGTTGTTTTTACTCATCTGTTTCCTCTAACCCTGCTGCCGTCGCAACTTTCTCCTTGTTTCAACCGTTTTCCAACTTTTTCCTGTGTCAAGATGTCATGCTCAGAAGTTTCAGCCTTCCAAATCCCACAAGAAAGTACTGAAGAAGATGAGCAAGTTCATATCCCAAGGGGAACTGCCAATTGGACGAGAAGACGGTGAGAAGATCAAACTTAAGTCCAGAATGCAATATTTTGTTACATTTAGGCACAACCCTATCAGCCTCGTGGCTGTGTGCTGCTCAGAGTTTCTGTAAGAAATATTGACTTTCTGTCTGCAGAGGAGCCAATGGACTCTGTGTGGAGTGAGGCTGGTCCACGGGAACCAACTAAAGCCTGCCAGTCAGACGTGACGTGTGCCGATATCACAGATATTCATCAGGAAGTACCAAAGTGTCCTCCTGTTGTAGAAGTTCAGGAGGAATTAGGAGACTCTTCAGCTTCAAGCTCTGAGAGCTCACGGAAAGATCCGGTGTATCTACCTAAACCAGGTACTGTTCCCCTTCAAGTGACGACAGTCAGTTTTGTCACTGTTAATATTAAAGCGGTCCTAGAATTTAAGACCACTGTCTAAAATATAATATTATTATATTTTTATTATTATTACCTTGTCGTTAAATCAAAGCAGCTTGGCATGTACCTGAGAAACGCTGTTTTTTGTTTTTTTCGGGCCGGTGTTACTCGTTGATCACCTGCTGCTGATGAGAGGATTTCTCCTGTCAGGAACAGGTGACCTGCTGCCAACCCTAACCCAACAGGCTTCTGTTCCTAGAAACACTTTCTATTCCCAGACTGTAGTGACCTGTTATTTATAATTTTATAATTAATGTTAAAGGGACTATAAGGAAGTTTGACAGTCAAAACATGTATAGAAATAATAAATGTCTTCTTCATACATTCTCCTGCAATGCCCTGGTCCTGTAGAAAGAGCCCTGGCATTTTTACTGTGATTGCCTGTTTTTCTGTAAAATCACAGAAAAAGAGAGATGCTCGGGTCGAGCAGGCTGCTTCATGCGCGTTCACGCTCAGGCATCGCCCGTAGCATTTGCTATCAGTAGCTTTAGCAGCAGAGAGAGAGGCAGTGCCACTTTGTCGCTGTTCCTAACGCCTAGTGACAAAGCTAGCTACATTTCTGAGGACCCTTAGCTACTTTCTGTAGAACGTTCTTCTAGATATTTCCTGCAAATTAGCAACAAAATAGCCATTTTCACTCCGAACCGTTCTTTGGTTCGACGTTGTTTCAGCTGTCATCAAGGATATAAAAGTTACAGATACTGTAAATGTTACTAGAGTGTAGCTCACCTTGTAAGATGTCTGACTCCCGTGCAGAAGACTTGGGTTTGATTCAGGATGTGAACATAGTTCATTTAGAGTTTCTTTTTTACATTAATGGTATATTTTTTACAGTAAGATGCCCAAATTTTTATTTGAGACTCGCCGAACGGCATTGAATTCACAGATAAATCAGACTAAATCAACTTTCATTTTGGAACAATTTTTTAAGCAAGGGAAGGGAATGATCTGAGCATGCAGGAGGACTGACCCATCATAAACCTTTGTCGGCTGTGCTGAAGAGAAAGCTACAGAACCAAATTATTTAATTAATTAGCTGCTCGTTCTCCTGTCCTCTGTCCTCCGGGCCACGCACACACACACACACACACACACCACACACACACCAACCACACACACACCACACACACACACACACACACACACACACACACACACACACACACACACACACACACACACACACGGGACTGTCTCAGCTGTTATTTTCGTTAAGGAGTGTGCACGTACATCATGCGTGCCTCGTGCACGAGCCTACTATTGAAGCTGCCGTTACGCTTTTGGCCTGAGGGGGCAGTCGCGAGCATAAAAATTCAAAACTCCGTAAAGTCCCTTTAAGTGAATGCACTAAACCCCAGAGGTGTGACCAAGTTACTGCTTTGCAAGTCACAAGTCTTTCCAGTCAAGTCTCGAGTCAACCAAGTCCAATGTTGTGAAAGTCCAAGTCAAGTCCTATTCTTTAACTTAGAGTTTTCTAGTCATGATCAAGTCATCTGTCCAACTTCAATTTAATGACGATGATAATAAATAAATCCCAGAAGTAAAGCTTCATTTATTTGCTCAAACAAGCAGGAAGTGCAACAGAAACTGATTATAAACAAAGTGCTGCTGCGTTTAGCAGAACATCACACCCAGAACGAAGGATTTATGATTTTTGTCCATGTCGTGCCCCTTTTGTGCTAAAATATCAAATATGCTCAAGTCATCATCAAGTCAACAGATGCAAGTCGCAAGTCACTGGCGTTCAAGTCCGAGTCAAGTCGTAAATATAGACTTTATCAAGTAGAGTCAGAAGTCCTTAAAATAATGATTCGAGTCCATGTCGCGTGTCTCGATTCCACACCTCTGGCACACCCACAGGTGATGGAAAATACGATTAAATAAGCCTGAATAACTTCCCCCACAGCTCAGCTCTGTTAGAAATAAGCAGATGTCTGCTAAAGATGGACAATATTAAACATAAAAAGTGTTCACAGACCACTGATCTTTTAATGAAGAAACAATGTTAATCATTTTTAATTTTAATGTTGATTTTATTTCATTTCTAAGTTTTGGATGTCTGTGAACATTACAGAATATACTGATTGGTGTAAATGCTACACACTATTATTAACAAGCCTGGATGTGTTTTGGTCTTATGTATAAAACTAGCGCCTAAAGCCCTGCAGCTATACTTAGTTTCTATAAACACCACCAACAAATACATAACAGCTGATTGGTTCCTTGGTAACTAGTGACATCAGTAAAGTTCTGGTACTGGGCAGCATGGATGAATCAGAGGATTTTGCTGTAGTCTGTGTTCAAAATGGATGAAAGACGGGACAGGATATGTAATCAAACAAATATAATATTGTAATACATGAACATGTTAAGATGCTTTATCACACATTCTCACCAGCCTGTAACTCAACTTTTTTATTCTCAAAATGCACCAGACTGATGCTTTTAAATATAAAATGTCATATTTAGTTTATTTATTACGTAAACTCTACTTTTTGCCAGTAGATGTCGCTGTCCACCCATATTAAACTCCTCCATGCAGCAGCCCGAAGGATTAGTTCATTGTTGCTTTGCTATTTTTTTGTTTTTAGGACTGTCTGTTTTGGTCTTGTCTTTCGGTTTGTTGTCTTCACTGTCCTGCACAGGATGTCGTCACTGCCAGGTTGTTATAATGGATTAATAACGCACACATAAAGAGATAATAACCCATTAGTCACATAGAACGGAGATTCTCACAAGTGACTTTGTTTCCCAACATCTCAAAAAATTAACACCCATTAATTAAAATCTCAGGAGAGCGAGAGCTTGGTGCTGGCGGGAGTCGACCCAGTGTGGTTCTACTGAGCCGGCGTCAGCTCCACAGCTCTGTTACGGCGTCAGAGTGACGAGCCTTTTCAGCAAAAGCGGAAGCCGGAGGATTTACTATCACCCCCGCCCCTCAATTTACCTTCAACTGAAAACACCTGGCCATATATTCCCTCTGTTTTTATGACTGAAGGCTTTATAACTGTGGGGAGGCTCCAGCTCGAGAAAACTCGACTCCCCACACCTCCTGTGCAGTCTCCGCAGAACAAGTCGATGCAAAAACGGAAGTGGAATCTGGTTTAATTACAGTATTTTTACAGAAATGGCCCATATATAGATCAGGATTTTATGAATGCTCACACACGGCAGCTTCCTGCTCCCACAGAAAGCAAATTGGGACTTTTTACGTGTTTACATGAAAGTCAGCAGTCGTTTTTAGATGGTTTACACTAAAATGTTCTTCAACATGTCCTGAACTTTCTGGAACTGGAGTGCGATCATCTGTTTTCAGTAGGAAGTCATCTGTCAGACTTGATCCTCACTAGTGGTACACACTGTCCTGAGTGTGTGACACTAAAAGGGAAAGTCTACGGTTTCTGTTGGAGAGCACGTAGATGAAATTCAAAGACATTTGAGAGAGAATCCCGGTTCAGACCTCCTTTTGTTGGTCACGCAGTCGAGAGGAGAAAGTTGGTCAGCGAGCTGATGGTGGCAGCTGGCACTAGTGCAAGCAGGAAACAGCCATCACTTCCTTATTGCTCCAAACAGGATGTGGGGGTGTAAACTGTTGACATAGGATGCCAGGAGACCTGCAGGGCTTGGCTGGAGCTCAAGAAGTTGTGGTGGGGAGGAGGAGGAGAATGAGGGGTGAGGACGGGAAGGGGGAGTCGCAGGGAGAAACAGAGATTTGGATGGTGAGTTTTTCTGAATGAAACCAAACAATCTCAGATAGATGTATACATTTTTGTTTGCATCTTTTTATTCACAGAAAACAAAAATGTTCTGTTTGTTGTTTCCATTTCTTCATTATAGATGTACGCTAGCTAGCTGGGTCACATTCATGCACTCTACGTCATGTAGATAAAGATGAGTAGAGTCAGACTTAATGATCATAACTAAAGATTCATGTTCTGAATCAAAGATTCAAGCTGGAGAACAGGGTTAAGTGCCTTACTAAGGGTACCGTATTTTGGTCTGCTCGGGGACCTGCACCTGCTGATGACATCACACTACGCCAACGCAACCTAGACAAAATACACAGCACACCAATTTTTACCCAGCTAAGCGGTAAAATTAATATTACTCTGCCAACAAAGCTCTCAAAATAATTCATATGTGAACTTTTGCATGCATTTTTATAATTAATATCCTTGAATAAGTATTCTTCTGTACACACCATTTGTTTGTATGTTTTTTTTTTTGACATGTTCAATAAAGTTCTTTTAAAATAGCGTCTCACTTTGAGGGAATTCCCAAAATCTAATTTCTCCCATGTGAAAGAATGAATTTGAGTATATATACATTTATTTATTAATGGTGCGATTTATTGGACCAAGTATCAGTCACAACAGTAATGATGAATTTCTTTGTAAATGTCAGCCCTTTTTCCTACGAAGGAGTGCTACAACCTGCAGAAACCACAACCCCTGGTGGATCTGGCTAACAGAGCACAGTATGTGCTCACGTCTGGATCAGCCAATCGCATCAGTCCAAGTATTGGTTCACTGAGTAAAAAGTCAGAGCATAGCGAGAAAAGTGGACAAGTCCAGAAAAAAAGAGGACAGAATCATCAACGCAGTCCAGCGGCTTCGGATAAGTGTTTTTGAACTCTAAATTGGAAGTTAATGTTGGACAAAGCTCAGTTCACTTTTATAAACACAAACAGTTATCGTCAAAGGAATCACAGGTGTTGGACTGTACCATTTTAGGCACAAGTGTTGGACTGTACCATTTTAGGCACAAGTGTTGGACTGTACCATTTTAGGCAGGATACTGACAACTTCAGCTAAAGTGACTGGGCTTCTAAGGGTGCTCGAAAGCCTTGAATAGACTTGACAAGATGCTTTTAGGATAAATGTTAGCTGAAGTCTGTTTTGAAAAGATAATTTTTACTTCTTTGATGGAGGTGAAGTATAAGTTCTGAGCATATTTGTGCCTTCATGGATGCCCGTCACAATTAAGGTGCTGGAAAATCTTGAACTCACCTTGAAACTGCCTGAAAAAGCTCGAGTTTAAATTGGAATAAATCTAAGAAACCCAAATAAGAGCATTGCTTTTATTTATTTAAATAAATGTGAGACTTTGATCTTCCAGAAGAAAAAAGTCCATAAACGTTTTTTTCCCCTCTTCTGTTTCCATGTTTGGGTTCCAGGGAAGGGAGCGGATCCAAACCGGCCACCATGTAGGAAGGCTAAAGACTTAAGGAAGGAGCGCCGACTTCAAAAGGATCAGATTAGACAACATGCTGATGTTCCCAATCCCAATCCCACTCGAAGCAACCAGCCTAAATCATTAGAGGACTTCATCAGGGAGTCTTTGGGGGATGACGCCTCTCATCAGCTCGAGGTGAGCAGAAATCATGAAGTTTCTGCCTTTCTCATCTCTTCTTCGGAACACTAGTCTGTCATTAGGAAGTAGTTCTTTTGGTTTAGCCTTCACTCACCGCGCTGCTCGTCATGCGTTAGCTGAGAGCTCCACGGCCGCAGTGACTTCACCATGAACAGAGCTGAGGTGCACCAAGTTTGAATTGGACCAAATGACAGGTGCACCACTTTAACTGATGACCGTTAATCCACTAAGCTGTTATGAAAGGATGGAGAATGGAACAGTTGGTCTCTGGTCTCTGTCCCCCTGAGACCAGCTCGACAACTTCCCAACCAGTTAAAGTGATTTTTAAAATAAATTTGCATGCAGTTTATCTAATCTGGTTTCCCTCCACAGACCAAAAGCATGCCAGTTAGGTTGGCATTCCTAAACTGTCCCTGTGAGTTTGTCCTGGGTGTCCCCACTAAAGACCCAGTCGGTGCTGGAGGCGGACACCAGCTGCCAACTACCCTACTGGGGTTTAAACCAGGATTTCACTGAGCTGTTCAATGTTGCCGTAAAGTCCACAACTTTTTCGCTGGAATCACCGGTTAGCTACATCACGTGGGGCTCATGAGATGTCAAACACGTTGTGATATTCTGGAAAAACGTCTTGCTGCAGTTTTAGCCTGATTTATACTTCTGTCTGTGTCGGTATGAAGACACTCAACACCATTATGCGTGGGCGTAAGGGCTCCGGCGGTCTCGCAGAGGCTGACGGAGACATGCCCAACCTTTTAACTATTCGTGGAAAGCGACGGAGACGGCGAGCTTGAGGCTGGTCAGGACGCCGCTTCCTTTAAAGTCATCAAAAGCACCGCCATTGTCCCTTTCAAAAATAAAACCGTATTTGGCAGCAGCCACGGAACAGATGGGAGAAGGCCTTGTGGAAATGTCCAGAAATATGAACGTTTATTCGCCCGTGACTGAAGGAGTACGGAGATACGCAGCAAGCATTTTAATCATGGACGGGAAACGTGAGTTTAGAGGTGCCGATCGCACGAAGAGGTGCAGGAGAATGAAGGAGAAATTCATCTGTCCTAAAAAGTCTCTGAAATACATAAAAACAATGTAAAGACAAGAGTAAATACACTATCTTGGACCAGATATGTGCCTGTAAGGCAAAGAAGCTCAATTACCGTAAATCCTCTAATACAGGCCGGTATTCAATTAAAGGCCGGGTCTCCAATTTTGGCCGGTGTCAAAGTCAGCGGAGGTAAATAATGGCCGGTCTCTTATTGTGGCCGGATGGAATGTGGTAACACGCAAGTACGAGCGTCCCAGCAGCAGAGTTATAGTTCCCAAATCAACCAGCAGGAGGCAGTAGGGGTTCACGCAGACCTTCAGTAGGTTTTTTTTCAACGCTTTGTAACGCTACAGACATGATCCTCTATCATGCTCCTACCACACAGAGTCACGGTGTCAGTTAACCATGCTAATTCAACCCGCTCCACAGAACACACATCACCTTCCCTGTGGCTTACATAACACTCACACAACACGCAAATCAGCACATAGGAACTAGCAGAACGATAGGAAACACATATAACACAATACCCAGAATGCACCTGGCTTACAACCCCAGCCAGGTCATTACACTATCAAGAGAACGTGCTGATTACACTGCAGAACACTCTGGAGAGCAGCAGTAGGGGGTGTATGAACTACAGTAATCCCTCGTTTATCGCGGTAGATGCGTTCCAGACCTGGCCGCGATAGGTGAAAATCCGCGAAGTAGGGACTCCCAGCATGCCCCTCGCGGGGATTCCCTCCACGTCGCACCTACGTCACAAACCGCGGCTATAAACCAAACGGAAGTCGTCTTTCCAGCTCACCACTCAGTCATCGTTTCTTCAGATTCATGATCAGAGTTTCCAACCTACCAATCAATCCAACGAACTATCAGCTCATAGTAAGTTATCTTACTTACTTCTGGAAAGCCCGGCATTTCCGTGTCACTTCGTTGACGCTCGAACGCTCGGGGGTTTCCTAGAGCAGCCGGTGTTGTGCCATAAATCGACTCGCTGCCAAAAAATGATTAGCCACTAAAGAAAGGAAGGGGAAAAAAATCAAATCGCTGGAGAATTGTTTATTTACATTTATACAACGTTTACATTCAATACAGGGCGCCATTTTACATAGTTTATTTATTTTTTAGTATCAAGGCTGTAAAGAAAGCCAGTTCTTACCACAAACCATTTTTCAATAGCAAATATTGCAAAAAGGATTAATATATCCTCATTGTGAACGTTTAAGACAAATAGCAACACTTAAAACAACTTCCGAACTGGAAAAAACTAAGCTAATCATTTTTTGGCAGTGAGTCGATTTATGGCACAACACCGGCAAGCAGGGAGCGCTCAGCTGTTTTCGCGGTCGGTAGATCTGCCTCCTGAGCACGGCCACAGTAACAATCAGGTGTCGCCACCTCAAAAACTAATTTAACACGCGATCGTTCATGTCAGTTCATTTCTTTTAATGTTTTCTGTCTTTTATTTGCGCCTGATGCGTTTCGCTGCATGCTGTGGAGTGGGGCGCTGCGGGCATCACCTTGTCCTCCGACGCACCGATCACTGATACGGCCGCCAAACAGCGAGCGCTCCGCTGTTTTTGCGGTCGGTAGATCTTTTAGAACTGCAGTTCAAAGGTAACTCATGAGGTGAATATATATGAACCCAGGTAGCAGTTTTTCTTTAGGATTGAGAGGAGATGCAGGAAGATAATAAACAGACAGGACAGAAAAATAGTCAAATAAAAACAAGTTAGTTTTTGTACCTGGTGGTTGCAACAAACAGGCACCGTTGAAGGTAATCAGAAGTGAGGAACAGAAAATGAAATAATTATTTTAATGTTTAGAGCAGCAGGAACTCCGAGAGGCTGCAGGCGCATCAGTGAGTTTGCGGCTGCTGCGCAGGGGGAGGGGGGAGAGGGCTGAAGCAGGGGGAGGGGGGAGAGGGCTGAGGCAGAAACTACCGTTGTTAAAAGAAATGTGTTTAACTTTGAAAATGTGGGCGCAATTTTAATTGTCAAAGACTCCAGTGGACCATTAGTTCATTTTGCTCAAATAGAAATAGAGGCCTGCCTCTAATACTGGCCCTCCTTCCAATAAAGGCCTGGAGCTTGATGAGCTTGAGTCAAATACAGGCCCGGGCCTGTATTAGAGGATTTACGGTATGTCCCTGGTCGTTCCTGATTTAGTCGTTCAAAGTTATGCTTTTAAAAACGGTAAATTACGTGTTATGAAATAATTTATCTAGAATGTTATTGTTGTTGAAGGGAATAAAAACTTGTGTTACATAAAACTGCAGAGATTAAAGGGACATTTGTTGTTCTTTTGGTTTCATGGTAGGCTTACTTTTGCCTTATTTAGGATTCTTTTCATGTGTTCATTTTCTTTCCGGTAATTGCTGTCGTGTCTAAAATAAGTGATCCCGCCAAGGTGCTTTTGGCAGCTGTTACGTCTCCGACATGAGTTGGTAAAATGTGAAGGATGGGGATAACATAAAAACTGGCGGCGGAGTTTAAAATGGGTTTATTTGTACAAAAAGGTATTAAAAACACAAGCAAACAGATGGCGAGCATTATTAAGATAATGCTAAACTAAAAACACTCTCAAAAAGGTTAACATTAAAACAGCAGTTACAACATTAAAAACACCTGGTTAAAACTTATTAAAAGTTTCACCAAAACAGAAGGTGTTTCTAAATCCACAAAGTTGATAAAAGTTCTAAAACAATTCATTGACATAAAACACCTGGTTAAAACTTATGATTAAAGTTTTACCGGAACAGAAGGTGTTTTAAAAACTTAAGTCAATAAAATTGCAACAAACGAAGTTAACCTTAAAAACCAACGAACACAAGATCCCACAGGATCGCTCAAGAGTTTAACTATAAAAGTTAAATCATCAAAACGAAGGCTCGAACGAACAAAGGGGTTAAAATAAAACAAATCATGGAGGACAGCAGAACCCCTGCACTGCTGTCTCCCAGACTGCTGAAGGCTCAGCCTTTTTATCCTAGGTGTGGCTCATCAGGAGGATTCAGCTCAGCTGTGCTCCTCAGCAGCCTGGAAGAGAGGAGGAGGAGGGGCGGTGTCCAGTCAATCACCAGAGCTGGGTGATCCTGGCTGCTTTTCCCCTCTTCAGGCTGGCAGCCGTGACAGCAGCTAAAGAGGACAACTACAGTGTTGAGGAGAGGTGGTAAATGTTCAGCTGGGCGGTGATTTTCCACCACCAGGGTTCAGTATAATAACACGATGCTGAGCTCCGAGGCTCTGTAGGAAACAGGAACTGTCCATCTTCTGTGCAATAGTCCCAAAGGTTTTTCCGACTTTCTTATAAATGTTAAAAAACTAAGTAAAAACGGAATTAATCAAAGTTAAACTTGGCTTCTGCTGAGAACGGGCAGATTATATAATCTATGTTGATGAAACATCTCCTAATCTGGATCAAAGTGTCAAAATAGACAAAAGTTTAGATTTGGATTCTCTGGTTCCTTACGAGTGTTTTGGTTCTGATGAGAGAGGGAGCGAGAGAGGCCATTTTTAATCCAAGTCAAACAAACCTCAGGTTCAGCATCCCGCTCTTCCCACAGATTCATTTGGCCCCGCCCCTAGGGCCGACAGAAGTTTCCAACTGAAGAGGCGTCTAATTAAAAGTGGAGCGGCAGGATGACGGTCTCAGCCTGTGTCACATTAGTGACACCCAGATGACTTGTTTCCTTTCTAAGGGTCTTCCTGATGCTCTCCGCTCTTCTTTATAGCATTGCACCAATCACATAAAAAAGTGAATTCTGTCACGATACGGTAGGAGGAGGTCGGACCCAAAATGCAGAAACCCAGAACGACTCGAGGCAGGAGAGGCTGTAAGAAAAAACTTCCTTTTATTAAGGAGGGTGAGCAAAATCCAAAAACCTGAGAAACCAGAGGGGGACCAAAACAACGCTGACAACATCAATGGACCGACAACACAGAGAGACACAGGCAGGGTATGTCTACAGACGCTGGGTGATAGGAGACGAGGGGCAGGTGTGTGGGAAATGGGCACAGGCGAAAACGATGAACTAAAGCCGGGCGGACACTGTGTGACTTTTTCACTCGTAGCACTCAGCTTCAGCTCAAACTGTACGACTTCCTCGCAGGGCAGATCTCACGAGTCATGCGCTCACACTGCACGACCCAGTTCTCGCATGCGACCCGACTGCTCACACTGTACGTCTGGTAGCAACACGTCGGCCCTAAAAATGTGCTAAAAATAGCAGTTTTTACTCAACACGTCTGACTTTTTTGTCTTGTTTTGCCTGTTGTCCTTCGGGAGTGCTGCAGGAGGACACACAGGGATTTATGGGGGTTGGATGAGGAAAACGAAATAAAGAAAGTAAATCTGTGTTTTGTGATCAGTTTAATTTGACATGAACACGACAAACACGCTTTCTTGACAATCTTTGTGAGTAAAAAACGTGTAGAAATAAAAACAAACAACGTGTGTTATTAGGGAACAGCGGGGAGCGGCGTTGATGCAGGATTGTGCATGCGCCGTGAGCGGTTCTGATACTTTTTGGGTCGCAGCCGCTCGCAGCGCCGCTTCAACAGTGCGATACCCTCACGAGGGACGAGCAAAATATTAAACACGCCAGAAGTCCGTGCGAGCTCACGATTGCTGATCGGCGGCTGGTCACGTGGTGTTAATCGCCTCTCGTAACCCCTGTACACTACACGACCGCTCGGCGCAAAACTCGCCCCGATGTCGTGGATTCTCGCACGACTGGAAAATCGGCTCAAAAGAGTGAAAAAGTCGCACAGTGTACGCCCGGCTTAAGGAGAAGCAGAAATAAGCAGAGGAACAAACCAAATGTAATCCTGAAAACCAAAGCTACTGAAATAACCAAACTAAACTAAAAACATAATAGAAACAAAGACGCAGGGCGATCTAAAAATAATAAAATGAATGATCTAAGTGGGGAAAGGAAACACACACTCTAAAGGAGACAGGAGAACCAAAAGGTCGGGAGAATGGAGAACGTGAGGGAAACCAGGAGGGAGCTGGGGACAAATTCAGCCTCTTTTTACGGTTTAAGACAGTTTAAGGTTTCTGCTTGAAGTTGACAGGATGACCTCAGATTTAATCACCTCTAGTTTAGCCGCCACTCAGGATGTGACTTCTGATATTGATGTGCTGGTGAAAGCAGGTTTCATATCAAAGGGCAACATGAATTATTAAAATAGCCCAAATTAAAATATTGGTTTAAAGCTCTGCTGTGTAATAACTCTGCTCTTGGACAACATGGTGAAGTCACTGAAATGAGCTCATAAATGGCTGAAAGCAGACGTTTTAGGCAGATGGGAACAAATGCTGTAAAGAAATGTTGCTTTCATAAATATAAATGAAACCATTTTCATATGTAGGTTGAAAAAGTGAGGTCATAGAAGATGGTTTGGTTAGACTGAGCACAGCAGCGCGGAGGTCTGTGGCTGCTGTAGTCAACCCAGGAAGTGTGGAGCGGCAGACGAAAGGCACATCAGGCTTTTCCTCCCTTTCAAAATCAGAAGCTGTCCAACTGCGCCATTATCTGAGCCTTGGCAGAAATCTGGACAGGTGTGGTTGTCGTATAGGAAATGTGGCCAAAAAGCCACTTCTCCAACATGGAAACGAACCCAATTTACTCGGCTGTGCAAAAAAGCATCAGGAACCGAGGCGGCGGCAGGTGTTCTGGGTTGATGAGTTCAGAATGAAATATTTGGCTTCAGCAGAAGGAAATTTGTTGACCAAAATGCTGTAAAGTAGAACGATAATGACGGCCTGCAGGCAGCAGAGGAGCTTGGTGAAGGTTTGGTCTTTAATCATCTCCTCAAAGCAGTTGCCACCAGAGTGACGAAATTCATAGGGTCCAGAAGAACCAACTTCAGGGTAATTTAGGAGTCTTGGTAGTGATGTCATGGATCCCGTATCCCTACATCAGAGTGTGTCTGACTGCATGGTGGAGCGATTGGAGACCGAACAATCCTCCCAAGATCTGTGGTTGGATTTGTAAAGGTGTGGAACACTGAACACCCATTTTTAATTATTATTTCTGATTATAATTAATCATGAGTTTTTCATGCAGGCTGAACATGACAATGGTCTCCTACACCTACCTCCTGCATCAGCTTCTGATAGAAAACAGACGGTGAAACTCCAGGATTAGAAAATCCTGACAGATTTACGTCACGCTGTCACTTAACATTCATGGACTCACCCGTCTGGACTCATGATGGGGGAAAGCTCTTGGTTTAGCGTCCAGGGAACCGCAGAGAATGTCTCGACTAGCAGAAGCTAACTGTTAGCATTAGCAACTTCACCACACAGCAGAATTCCTCCAGGCTTGTGTTATTTGTGGAGATAAAATATCAACATTGCAGAGATGACGAGTCAGTGGTAGTCGTGTTGCTGTTAGCCAATCCGGGGCGAGGTGTCCAAATATCAGGAAATAAGACTTCAAATCCTGGCGCAGAAGCTCAGCTGCGATGTGGGTCACTGCTACTTCCTGGAAATGGTGCTCTGGTATATGTTTCCCCCCAGAGAACGACTTGCAAGGCATTCGTTCCTACTAGAGACTGCTGCAGATGTATTGATTACACGAGTGAACCACACCTTTAAGATCAGCCAAGTTCCTCTTGAAAACTAAACCCGTTTACCTGAGGGAGCTGAAGCTGATTGAGATTTGTTTTCTGCTGCTCGGTAAAAATAAAAAGTTGTGAAAGCGTTCTTGCAGCATAGTCATCCCACACCTGCCTAAAGCTTCTGCACATCAACATGTTATAGTGATGTTTTCTCCTGTAAATAAAACCTGCTGTGTTGGCGTCGCCTTTTGAATCTGCAGGTTTTGTTTGTTTTCTGTCTCTCCTCTGTTTCTTCACACTCTTACCTTCATTTTCTGTTTTTTATTATCACATTCACTACGTGTTCCTCTGGTTTTGATATTAACTCTTTATCTGCCCATATTCTTTTCGAAGGTGAGGCTAGTGCGCTCCAATCCCCCTAGCCCGCAGTTCAAAGCCTCTTTCGACGCCTCCTACCAGGTGTACAAACTCTACCAGATGGCCATTCACAAGGATCCTCCTCACAAACCCTCCGAGAGCCAGGTCAGAGGGTGGGGGTCATAGGTCAACTCTCTTTTAACCAGCGAGGGCCAGCAGCTCTGGGATTCTTTTTGGTTCCTTTCAGGACTTTGTATCTTAATCTAAAAATAAAAAAAAGATAAATGCTTAGAAAATATTTGGATTAAAAGGAGTTTGCTTGCTTTTTTCTCTCAATAACTTATAACGTGGGATTTATTGGGATTTCTTTCCATAATTTTCCCCACTTTTTAAACAAAGTTTAAATTCTGGTCTCTCGCATGTAAAATAGATTAAATTTAATAGAATTTTTTGGCTTAAATTTAACATTACCATGTGGTAAGCATGCTGGGATTAAATAATTTGTATGAATGTGAGTTGGAACTGAAGGAGAAATGTTTCCATGCAGCAGGGTTGAGAACGGCGTTTCTCCAGCTGAGTCGTGTCTCGAGTGTGAGGAGGCCGTTTGTCAGGTGAACCCTCCCGTGTTGTCCATCAGCATCTTTCTTCCAATTATCCCGCGTATCCAAACTGGAATCTAATTCAGATCTTGTTGTGAGCTTTTTGTGCGTGAAATATCGTTTAATATCTTTCTAAAAAAAATCTGTAGCTGGGTTAACCTAGCTCACTCGAGGATTCAGGATCACACCGGCGTCAAGTAGCTGACCTGTCTGAGGAACCTGTGGTGAAAGCGGGGTAGTGCACTAGCCTCATCCTCAAGCGTTTCACCAGCCTCCTAGAATCTGAGTTTTCCTTGTGCGAGACTTTCCTGCTGCTTTCAGCTCCCCTTTGGACTCATGACCGACGCGCTCGTTTTCCATTTCAAATCAAGCCTGTAACCAATCACAGCCAGTGTAATCCTTGTCTATCTTCATAATTGCCCTTCCACATCCTCTCCTTCACCCCTTGTGCTCGAAGGTGAGGTTAGTGCCCGTGAACTTTGAGGACCCTCAGTTCGCAGTGTCCTATGAGCAGTCGGTGGCGCTGTACGCCCGCTACCAGATGGCCATTCATGGTGATGACCCCAGCGAATGTAGTGAGAGTGAGGTACTGCATGGTTATTATTCTACACATGTGTACTTAATTCACGTATCTGTATTTGGTCTAATTTAGCTCCTTAGCTTGTTGGTATGAAGGGAAGTTTGTACTAGGGCCGCACCGATGTTGATGTCAGATATTTATACTGCTGTCATGGTCGATAACTGACATTTACTGATATTATTAATATATTTGTCTACACTTTCCGTACCATGTCAATGCAACCAAATTGTCTGTCAAATGCCCAAACAAACACTACACCCCCACCCCAAATAGATGCAAACTGCAGCAAGATGAAAATGAACTTGTCAGTTTTGCTTCTCAAACCACTTCTGTTATGTTAAAAAAACATCGGCTCATACCAACATTGATGCCGACATACCGTGCCTCCCTAATTCCGTTACAGATGTGACATTTAGACCAACAAATCAGTTAAAATAAAGACGTAGAAGAAGCAAAATGTTCTAAATTACTGAGCATGTATAGCTGCTTTTATTTCTTCACTTTATGCATAAGAAACATTTATATCGTCTAGTCAGGATACAGGGATCCTGGACAGCCTGAGAGAGCTTTTTGTCCCTCTGGGCTGGAAAAACAGCCTCCTCCACACACTCCTGCCAGCAGGCTGCTGTAAATTCACTAAACCTTCTAGCTTGTAAAAGTAAGGTAATTATTAAATAATGGAAGCTGTCAGATTGGGCAGACTGTGGCAGATTTTTTCCTGGTGCCATAATGCCAGCGCTTTTAAAAGTGTGTGTGTGTGCGTGCGTGCGTGTGCGCGGCTGGAGTTAATGACCATACAGTAATAGGATAGTTTAGGAGTGACACCTAGAGCATTTATATGTAATATAAAGGTGTGGAACTGCACCAACAACTGTGCTGTTTGTTGAGTTTTTGGAAAGGAAAGTAATTTTTTTGTTGAATTTGTTTTCCATGTTGGGTTCTTGCTGAATGTAGTGTTGTGTAAAAGCTCCGGGTGAACTAAGGTTGTGTTAATTACTCTTTAAAGGCAAGCCTTCTTATTTGCTTGGAGATCTGTGCAGTAGTAGTGATTTTAAACTACACCATCATGTGCGTGGCATTCATTACAGCTTTCATTGTGTGATGAAGATGGACAACAGTTTAATTTTCGTTCCTTTTTTTCTCGTGCCCTGTCTGGCTGTAAAGCAATCGGAACTGATGTCCGAGTGCTAAGAACAAACCTTACAGTATAACGCCCGGAACACACCTGCTGCGAAACGGATCACTCACGAAGTTCGCGTGCTGCCCGTTGCTCCTCTGTTCACATCAGGCGAGAATTTCCGATGAGCGCTTCTGCTCGTGCATTCCGTTTTCCAGGTAAACCTTCAGGCCACATTCATCGGTCCCTCGATTGCAACCAGTCGTCCTGTCCTTGCAGTTGAAAAACATCCCCACAGCATGATGCTGCCACCGCCATGCTTCACTGTGGGGACTGTATTGGACAAATGATGAGCAGTGACAGGTTTTCTCCACGCATCCGCTTAGAATTAAGGCCACAACTTTCCATCTTGTTCTCGTCAGACCAGAGAATCTTATTTCTCACCATCTCTGGGTCCTTCAGGTGTCTTTTAGCAAACTCCACGCACCCTTTCACGTGTCTTGCACTGAGGAGAGGCCTCCAGTGGGTCACTCTGCCATAAAGCCCTGACTGGTGGAGGGCTGCAGTGATGATTGACTTCCTACAACTTTCTCCCATCTCCTGACTGTATCTCTGGAGCTCAGCCACGGTGAACTTTGGGTTCTTCTTTTCCTCTCTCACCAAGGCTCTTCTTCCCTGGTAGTTCAGTTTGGCCAGGCAAGCAGCTCTAGGAAGCATTCTGGTCATCCAAAACGTCTTTTATTTAAGGATTTTGGAGGCCACTGCGCTCTTAGGAACCTTAAGTGCAGCAGAGATGTTTGTGTGACCATAGCCAGATCTGTGCCTTGCCATCATTCTGTCTCTGAACTCTTCAGACAGTTCCTTTGACCTCATGATTCTCATTTGCTCTGACATGCATTGTGAACTGTAAGGTCTTAAGCCGGGCGTACACTGTGCGACTTTTTCACTCGTACTACTCAACTTCAGCTCAAACTGTACGACTTCCTCGCAGGACAGATCTCACGAGTCATGTGCTCACACTGTACGACCCAGTTCTCGGAGGCGACCTGACTGCTCACACTGTACGTCTGGTAGCAGCACGTCGGCCCTAAAAATATGCTAAAAATAGCAGTTTTTACTCAACACGTCAGACTTTTTTGTCTTGCCTGTTGTCCTTCGGGAGCGCTGCAGGAGGACACACAGGGATTTATGGGGGTTGGATGAGGAAGACGAAATAAAGAAAGTAAATCTGTGTTTTGTGATCAGTTTAATTTGACATGAACACGACAAACACACTTTCTTGACAATATTTGTGAGTAAAAAACGTGTAGAAATAAAAACGAACAGCGTGTATTATTAGGGAAATAGCGGGCGAGCGGTGTTGATGCATGATTGCGCATTCACCGTGAGCGGTTCTGATACATTTTGGGTCAACAGTGCGATACCCTCACGAGGGACGAGCAAAATATCAAACACTCCAGAAGTCCGTGCGAGCTCACGATTGCTGATCGGTAGCTGGTCACGTGGTGTTAATCGCCTCTCGTAACCCCCTGTACACTACACGACGCTCGGCGGAAAACTCGCCCCGGTCTCGTGGATTCTCGCACGAGTGGAAAATCGGCTCAAAAAAGTGAAAAAGTCGCACAGTGTCCACCCAACTTAAATCATCACATTTTTTTTGTAGAATTAAAGTAAAGAGCTACGTGTTCATGTTTTGATGGAACATTTGGTGCCTACTGCTTCTGACAAAGTTGGGTCATTTACTGACTTTGGAGGTATTTCATAATCCATTAAGGTATTACCTCGGGACACAATCCGGATTACTCGGCCTGGTTCCTAGCCATACAATAAGAAAAATTGTGTGTGTGTATCACAGTTAATGTCACCCCGCCAAGTCCGTCCAGTGATTAGTCCGTATAATTTCGTAATGGGGGAAAAGCTTTGTTTGTTTAAGGATGTGTGCATTTCCTGGCAGACCATGACTGGAAGGGAGCCAGAAATATTTCCCCCCTCATCTAGCGTCGGTTTTGTGACTGAGTGGAAGCACGCACTAATAGCTGTTTAGACGCACACACAAGTACACACTCCATCACTTAGTGGTCTTTAAAGTATTGTGCTGAGCCATGAATCGTAGCATCTGGACATCATTTTCAGGAAAACATCCTGGTAGAGTGTCCTTATTTGGTGTAAAGGAAAAAAATGTATGGGAAAGATGAGAAGTTGCAACATCTTGGTGGATTATGGAAATATGTCAGTGAGGCCATCCCATCTATCAGGAGCATACTGAATCTTTGTTTCCATGAAACAATGAATTCAAGACTCTGCAGCTCCTTCAGTTTGGCTGATAAACTTAAGTTAAGCAAAGACGGCAAAGGATTTAGAGTTGTTTGTGTTACCTACAGCGTTAAAGAGTCAATACAGGCACTTTGTCTCTCAGATAAATACAGCAGTTTGAGCGCGCCGAGATCATAAAGACGAGACGTCTAAGTAGCAATTACGCGTAAGCTGGTGTGCGAGTATAAATATAGTGTATGTGTGTGTGTGTTTGTGATGGCTGCTTGCACGCCTTAATTGTACACAGATGGGTGTTTACTGTAAGAAAGGGAGAGTTGGAGACGTTCAGATAGGCTCCATGTGTTGTTGCACATGGGCTCGTTCCAGAAACGTCTGCATCGTCTGTTTTCATGTAGCTCGTTATCTGCTGTTTTATTCAAGATGGACAAAAAAAAAACAGCTTCCATTGAAGTAATGCTTTTGTTATCTTGCTCTCGATTGACTCCGCCTTCACAGATTTTATCTCTTGCAGTGATTGGTACTCAAAAAAAGTTTCCGCGTTGGCCGTTTTAGGGCCTTGCGGTAACCGAGGAGAAGGGATTGACTGAGAAATGAT